ATCATATTGATAAATTATATGGATGTTGTATGTGAACTTACCTGTATGATCAGGTTTCTAATTCTGATAAAATTACTTTTTTAAACTTAATTATGCTATGCTTTTTTGCATGAATCATGTATTTTACAAACTTAAATCCTTTCTGCATTGCATGTTACTTATGATATCTCAAAATAAGTTATATGCACTAATTTTATCTCATATATTTACTTATTATTTGATTCTTAATTGCATAATTTAAAAACATTATTTTAAAAATAAAATTTGCCCTGAAATATTGTTCTTTATTAGATTTTTTTTTTTTTTTTTTTTTAAATTTATGAGATTTCCTATTAACTTTAATTCTGTTTTCTTTTCAGCATGAAATGATACATGCCTATTTATTTGTGACTGAAAACAATAAGGTAACTAAATTGACATTTCTTTCGTTTATTTTAAAATTAAAATTAGTACTGTTTGGTATTAAAATAATTATAATTTAAAGACTTAGTTTTTAATTCTGCATTCTGCTTGTACTCGCTTCTTACTAAAACTATTAAATCTCTTAAAACAGCTAGCTCAGTATAAACAGAATCGGATTTTGACTTGATGAGGCCCTAACCTATTTGAAATATGGGGCCCTTTATAAGTCTGTTGTACTATATTTTTATGCCATATTTATACTATATTTTAAATTTTTGGGGCCCCCCAGATAGTGGGGGCTCTAAGCTATAGCTTGTGTAGCTTATATGTAAATCCTGTACTGAGTATAAAGCATACTTAAATCAACTAGCTCAGTGTAAAGCATGCTTAAATCAGCTAGCTAAGTATAAAGCATGGAAGTAAATATGCATTTTATCTTTTTTCTAGTCGTGGATCATTGTTCTGAGGACATTAAATCAGACTTGTCTTTTATGTATTTAATAAACACACCATATATGGGGGAAGAAAAGAGAGAACTCTAATAATTGATATTTAAATAATTATTTACAAATACATCATTACATTTAAAGTTTCATTTTGCTCAAGTCTTTCAGAACTCCACCTAAGCATGCTCTCTCCAGTCTCATTAGTTTTTCTCCTTCTCCTGTTTTTCTTTTCCACTGTTGCCAAGTTAATTTTGGTTTCTACTGAAGTCGCAACTCTGCTACATCATTTGCACCTCAAAATTTGTTCCTTCTAAACTTTCGAAACGCTCGTATTTATGAATTTTGGTTTAAAAACTTCCTCTACTCTAAGGAATAAATGCCAGAAATTTAACAATTGCCTATTTAACTGAAGTGATTACTTTTCTGTTTGGGCTTTAGTAGTTGTAGCTCTGTTGGGATTCACTTTTCCGTTTCTTGCTTGGGCAAACTGCAACAACAGATGTTAGTAGCACTATGATCATAATGAAAATTATTAGCCAGAAGGAAAATGCTAATGCTAAACAAAGAAAAAGAAGTAATCCACTGAGATAAGTTTGTCGAAGAACAAGCGATAACTCATTCTATCAATCCAGAAACCTAATGAAACATATTAATATAACAGTAGAAATCATTAAGCTTGGATAGACAGGTGATTATTAGACATATGGGTGTTTAGCTGGGTTCTGCTTCAAAAGAGTTTAATTGTATATTATAAGCACTGCACTAAAGCCACAAATTTTTAAAATTGTTGCCAAAAAAACATATTTCAATGTTTTTAACATGTGTTTGGTTTTAAGAGAACTGAGTTCTAACTTCTTCATAAGAATTCTCTGATATAAATCTCTCAGAATACTTTTGTCTTTTAACTTGATGGATATGATTGATATACTGGAACATGACCTAGACAATGAAACTGATGCATAATTATTTTGGCATGAGTCAAGAAAATTTTTGACATACTTTTTATAGCTGTTTTAGATAAAATTTTACATGTTGGTAAAAAGCATGGTAGAACTTCATTTATCTAAAGCAGCTGAGACCATGACCTGTCTGGATAACCAAATTCTCATTATTTTGTTAGCCAAATGCTGATTTACCGTAATGCAAGTTAGAGGATTTTATTTATTATTTTTTTTTTAAATTATGTCCTTTTTTTATTTATATATTATTTTGTAGTGTTCCTAACTTACTTTGGTGAACGTAGTGAAATTTATTGAACTATGTAGCACCTTATTGCTGAGTCCAAGTGAGTAATAAAGCCCAGAGAAGGGTTAAAATACCCTTTTATTCACTCAAAGAAATAATGACAGTTGGCCTTGTCTCGGGCTTACAGAAAAGCCTCCACTTGGGCTTTAAACTCAAGCTAAGAAAATAAGAAACTAATCTAATGCTAAATGTAATTATGTATAACCGAAACTATACACAATTACCTAACATATTTGGCTCTTTACTAAATTAACCAGCGAATATCAGTAGGCACATACGATACGGCCAAGCATAGTGAACTTAATAATGAAGTAGCCTGACAGCAAACATACACCACTAAGGACTTCTAAGCTCTTCTGCTAAATTAAGCGAAACTTCCTTTGTGCACTCTTCTTACCTCATTTACATGCAACACAATGCTAAAAACTCATTCTGTTAGGGAGTTGTAAGTGGGAAACAAGAATTTAAAGGGTTTCAAAATTAAAAATAACTGTTAGAAAATTCAAATAACCCTTACAATTTCAATAAAAATTTACTCAGACTATGCAATTAAAATACACTCATGTCCATAAATTAAGGATAATTCGGAGTCACGTGGAAATCAAACTCTAAAATAAATATATCACCTGTAAAATCACTACACACATCTTCAAGAATCATATGCAAATTTCAGGAAGTAACTAGATGACACCGATGGTACGTCACAATGACGAGAGTGTAATAGAGTGATATATAAGGAATATAGGCAAAGAAGTAAAATTGTTCGCAGGCGCTTTATAAGCATTTCAGTGCAATAACCGAATAGTTATGACACAAAGGACGCATTTGGATGATTTTTTACGTGGTAGAATTATCAGCCGTCTGGAATGTGGGCGTACCCAACTGGAAGTATCAGACGAACTTGGAATTGCCCAGAGTGTCATCTCCAGGCTTTGGCAACGATTTCAAGATGATGGTAATGTGAGTAGACGTTACAGCACAGGTCGCCCCAGAGTTACAGCGCCGAATAAGGACCGGTATTTGGCAGTTACTGCCAAAACAAACAGGTGGAGCACAGCCTGAGACCTGCCTCGTCAGCTCTCTTCAGCCACTGGTACGACAATTTCAAGGCAGACCGTGTACAGACGCTTAAGGGCAGATTGGTTTATATGTTCGTAGACCTGTCAGATGCGTTCCACTTACTGCAACTCACTGTCGCCTGCGGTTAGCCTGGAGTAGAGAGCATGCACTGTGGACACCGCAACAGTGGGCTTGTGTGATGTTTTCCGACGAGTCCAGGTTTAGCTTGCAGTCTGATTCTCGCCGGACTTTCATATGGAGAGCTCCAGGTATTCGTTACCACCAAGAAAGCATCATTGAACGACACCGTTACGGTGGTGTAGGAGTGCTCGTTTGGGGTGGAATTATTCTGGGTTCCAGAACTGACCTTCATGTTCAAATTGGAATCATGACAAGCCATATCTATCGGGACGTCATTCTGGAACAACATGTACATTTGTTTCGGGGTGCCATGGGCACACAATTTGTTTATGGATGACAACGCCAGTCCTCACCGTGCAAATATCGTAAGCGAATGCCTTCAATCGGAGGATATCACCCGTACAGACTGGCCAGCATTCTCACCAGACTTGAACCAGTAGAACACGTGTGGGACATGCTTGGCCGACGAGTTGCAGCCCGTCAACCTCCTTCTACATGTCTACCGGAACTTCGGAGTGCATTGCTTTTTGAGTGATGTAATATCCCCCAAGATCAGATCGATAATTTGATACTCAGATGCCTAGGCGTTGTACGGACTGTATTGCATCGTCTGGGAGACATACAATGTATTAACAATCAAACCAACCATGTAATATTGGTTTTTTGTAAATAAGTTTTTTTTTTTTTTTTTTTTTTTTTGGTAATTTGCTCCAGGGAGAAAAAAAATCGCTAATTTTTTTAATAATATCAAACATATAGCATCTGTTTTTGCTCTTTACCTTTTGTTTAATAAATAAGCTTTACAAATAAGTCAAATTTGTTTTGCTTCTAACTTTTCCTTTGCCTGATTTTGCATTATCCTTAATTTATGGACATGAGTGTATTTTAAATACACTTTAAATCAAGAGGGGAAAAGTTATTTATTTTCAATTATAAGAAATTTTTAGAGAAAATCATGACTTGCATCAAAAGGCTGATTGAAAATAATTGAATATAATTATATTGCATATCATATTACAAAATCTCCTTGCGTGGAGAAAATATAGGTGTAGTATTACCACAATTGTTTGATGTATTTTTAGAAATGAACTATATGTTATGGTAAAGGAATGACTGATAAATGAAAAACAGTGGAGATTTTTTCTGTTAATATTTATAGGATGTATATTTGCAAAATATTAATATTAGTTTCATATTGTACTTGGTATTGCCAAATCTACAATGTTATATAAATTTATTGAATGATATGTGAGGAACTGTTAATGAATTAAATGTGAATGTGTATGAAATTTTTATTGGACCATAAATAAATGGTTTTTGTAATAACCTGATAAAATATGGTCTTCATCTAATTGCATAGCTTTTTTAAAATATGTTTGTATTATTGAAGTCATGGAAAAAAAATAAAAACATGTAAATAAAATTAACAGCCAACTTAATTTTAAGTGACCTTGAACAAAAGCAGATACTTCAGATAATTGGACTTCTATTGTAGTTTTAAAATATTGACAAGTGCTTTGAAATAACTTAAGGAAATTTTAATTTTTTAATATCATTATCTCTCAAGAGATTTACTCTTCTGTTATGGAACATGATATAAGCATTATATAAAATAGTTAACAGAAGCTTAAAATCTTTAATATAATCAAAACTGCTGTGTTCTAAATTTGCTCTTACTGCACTGTGAATTTGTCATCTCAGTTAAATGACCTTAATGAAAATTTTATCTTACACATTAGAATGTACGTAAAGATAAATATCCAAAATATTAAGCACACTGACATTTTATCTTTTTAATCAAACTACATCATCACATTAAATAAATAATATTGTAATGTACAAGAATGAGGATTTATTGCTTCTCTGCACAATTATGCATTAATGCATAATTTTGTTGGAAAAAGTAAATATATTGTTTAACAATAATAACTATATTTTTTCAGATATTTAAGACAACTGTTGCTCATTTGATTAATTACTTCTTTTATTTAGCATGTGTTTACCATTTTTAAAATGTGTTATGTTTTTTATTATAAAATTACATTGGGTTACACTTACTTATTTTCATTTTAAATATGTTGTCATATTATAAAGGTATTTTATTTAAATTTTAAATTTCTAGCTTTTGTTCGTCTGTATTAAAGAAATTTCACTGTAGACGGATTTCATATGGGTAAACCAAAGGGGGGAAACCTTTTCTTTAATCTATCTTAAAATATATTTAACTTAAAAAATTCTCATGAATGTGTACATCAAATTTATCTTTTTACAAGATTTGTAAAATTCTTTCATTTTCTTTTGGTCATCTTATAATTGAGTAATTGTTTCTGCCATGTTTTTGAGATATTAGTCTCTTTAACAGTAAATTTATATTTCTAATGAAATTCTTAGGATCGCAGTGGGCATGGACCGGAATTTTTGTCACATATGCACAGAATAAATAAGGAGACAGGAGCAAGAATTACTGTAAGCTTTCATTTTAAATGTGTGTGATTTCAATAATTATTCTGTTTGAAGTATATTCATAAATTAGTTATGATGAATTTTTTTGTATTACACAGCATCTAAATGTTATTTTATTTTTAAATATAATCTAATATTTTAATTGTTTTGTATCATTTACAGTTCTTTTGAGCTGTCTTCTTTCATTGATATAATAAATCAACTACTATAACTACAGTTTTAAAATTCATTCAAAGTTGAGAATTGTCTGGAATAGACTTTAACAACTACCTTTAAGAAATGGTTATTCATGTTCAAATGTATTTTAATGAGTTTGAAGTATGTATGTGTGTATTATTATATGAAAGACAATAAATTCACACCTGTTTTATTTCATAATAAAAGCTCCTATATAGACTTGCCTTATTGAATGAAAGCAACTGCAAAAGCCCTTTACATTGTTGCCATCTTTCCTCCTTTTACCAAGACACTCTCATTTTTAGCCCAAAGGGCGTTAGACACAAAGGCGTTAGACAACTGTAGTCTCCGAACGGCATTTTGTGTCGTTTCATTTTCCAAACTGTTGCCACCAAATATTATCGCCATTACTAAATAATGAAGAATCTGCACGAATATTGTTAGCATTATATAATAACAATGGTATATAAAAACAATGGTACCTAGAGCCATCAAATTTTTAATAGCGTAATCCTCCAACTGAACATGGGATCTTGGAAGCCCAAATTTGTTTTATCTATTTCAAATTTTGTAAACCGTTAATGGATTTTTAATTAACAAATTCAACGATTTCAAAGCAAGCAAAGGCAACACTGTACAGGAAAAAAATAAATAATAATCGCATGCGAGACTGTATCGGAAATTCTAAAGATATGCTGTTTTGTTATGTATACACTTTTACCAGTTGACACTAACAAATTTAAGATACATGTGATGATCGAAGATGATTATTGGCTGTTAGGCTGCAGAAGATTTACTTAGAACTTTTATGTCAGGAATTCAAAGATATATGTTCCACTGGCATCATAAGAAAAGAGGGCTTACTTCAGTAAGTTCCAAGAACTTTAAATAATGACTTTATTCTTTTCATTGATGTTAATTTTTTCTGCCGTACATTGAAAAGAATGCACCCAACCAGAAAAAAAACAGAAGGTGGTGAAATTTGAGCAAAGCATTGTTTTTCATTCCTAAAGCATATAGAACACAGGTTTCCTTCAGTGGTTTTGGATGCAGGGTTTGACAGCAGCATTTGTACAGTCCAGTTTTTGAGCCTTATAACTTTCATTCATGTAGCAAGCTGAAAAAATATCTTGGTAGTCAACAATTTGCAAATGCTGAGCAGGTGGAAGCAGCAGTTTTGTGATCGCTCCATAACCAAGAAATGAATTTTTTTTTTTTATCAGGAAGTCTAATGTTTAATGTAACATTTAGCCAAATATTTACAGATAATATGATAATGCTGAAAAATAGTGTATTATATTTGTTATACTATATTATAGTGGATTATTTAGAAGTTTATTATTACAACATTTTATTCCTCATTTAAATCACTGAAGTCATAATTACAAGATTTGAAATAACTCATTAGTGTTAGGAAGAGAGGGGAGTATTTAAAACACTTCAACAATTACTTTTAACGGATAAGCGTAATCATTTAAGGTAATTACTGACTGTTGTAAGAACTGTTCAGTATTCATGTTTAAGGAGTTATTAAGACATTGGTATCATTATTAGGGAGTTAGTATCATTAACAGTTTATCTTACAAACTTTATGGGTTCTAAAAACTTCTCTATCAATTTTGTTGGAAAGCACTTAGTTGTATACTTTGTATAAAACATTACATACCAAATAAACTATTTTCCTATAATAATCATTCAAAATTTTACCTGAACATTTTCTTATGTAACATTTCTTTTAAATTTTTATAGGTTTTTCACAATTTTCACGATGAAGTCGAAGTGTACAGAACACATTGGTGGAAGTGTGATGGACCATGTCAGAACAAACATCCTTTCTTTGGAATTGTCAAGAGGGCGATGAATCGAGCCCCAGGACCTAATGATAACTGGTGGGCTCAACATCAAGCTACTTGTGGTGGCAAATTTATAAAGATAAAAGAACCAGAGGGCTATGGTAAAAAGAGAGTTCCCAAGCGAAAAATACCTTTTGATGGTAGGCTTTTATTTTTTATTTTTTTTTTTATTTCCGCTTTAATCTGCAATTTTCCACTTTATAATTAGTTGTGCAGTTTAAATATGATCACTATTTCATAAATTAGTCACTTGATAACAATTTTAAGACAGTATTGAATTATCGCATTAAAACATCACTTTCTTAAAAATTATCTTTTATATCTTATGACTCAGATGTAGTTTATATACAAGTTTGAAATTTAGCATATTTCTTTTTTAAAATGGACCATCTAGCTTAGAGAGTAATAGTATTTACTTCCAACTGTGCATAAGTCTGGACTTTGCATAAGTATGATAGAAAAGTAAAATGTTATAGTTATACCAAATGTGCATAACCTATTATTTTAATTAATCCTCTCATTTAAATGGAAGAGTTTTTGTCCTCTAATTATTTCTGATTTTCCCCACTTTACAGAAACAAAGAGCAAAACTTCTGGAAAAGATATAAGAAGTTTTTTTGGAAATGAGAATCTGGAGTCTGATAAGAATGTAAGAAAAGATCCAAATGGTATTAGTGAGAAGATAATGAATGTATCAAATATTAATGCAATAAAGTCTATCTTTGCTGCTGAAGATAACATTGTGGGTATCAATAGACAGCCAACAAAATCATCATCTTCTTCTCTCTCAAAGAAGAAAAATACCATTATTCCATTTTCAGGATCTGGTCACAAATTGGGTTCATCTGGAAATGCACCCAAATCTCTTCCCTTCTTGATACGTAAAGCTTCTCTTTCAAATTCAGATGTTCAAACTGCAGGCTCTTCCCAGAATAATTATAATGCACCATGCCTTGGCGCTTCAGAAACTTCTAACAGTACAAAAGTTCAAGAAAATAAAGGTATGTATTTTTATGAAATACAGTACAAAGTCTGTAATCTGGACGTCCATTATCCGGAATGATCTATAATCCAAACCTCAAAGCCGCAAACTTTTTTTTGTATGTTTTATGCATGCATATAATGCATTTATGCATGCGCATTTAATGTAACGGACGGTATAAGCTAGGCTAAAATTATTTTTACTGATTCTAAGACATTTCAGTTAATGTTGCAGTTTGTGCTATTCCTTAATCTTCTAATTGGATCCGGCTTATTATTTTTTCAGACTGTTAGAGCAATTTTATAAAAATTAATAAGATTTAACTTTCGATTATGTCAAAAAGAGTTTCCAATTCTGGAGCTGCCACACCGCTTCCGATAGTGAAGAAAGTGACAGAGAGTTTATTGAAAACGAAAAAATTTCGATTGACAAGTTAGTCGGTATTCTTGATACAGCAATTACAGGACTTAAACAGTGGAACTTTGTAACTGAACAAGCAATTATGTCTGTTTATAGAATTAAAGAGAAAGTATTAGCACAAAAAACGAAGCAACTTAAACAACTTACATTGAAATAAATGTGTAATAAAGTAAACAAATAAATATTAAGCTTTTTGTGTGTGTGTGTGTGTGTGTGTGTAAATTTTGATATCCTTTAGATCATAATTGCTTTTTATTTCATAAATTACGGTTTCATATTTTTAATTGTATAATTTCTGCATGCTATCTTACCAGATTCAAATTGTCGATCTATAATCCAGAAAACCCCTGATCCGGAATCTCCGAAGTCCCGACTAGTCCGAGTTATGGACTTTGTACTGTATTAGAAACATGATCAGTGTTGGCCAAAAGCATTTTAAGACCTTGTTCAGAAGTCACTATTATGCTTTCCCAAATAATGTGTGTGGGAGAGCAAAGAAATGTATTGAAGAGCATACTTTGTTAACAACAACTAATATTTATTTTACTCCTTTAAAACTAACTAGGCTGCAAGAGCAGCCTTTTACATTAAAACTAAAGCAAAAATGATAGTTTGTATTGAGTAACTTACTCTGTAGTTTTTACATTCTTGATAATATGTCAGTGGCCGATCAGCCAAAATTACATCAGTTTCCCACTGACTGGCCTTTGGAAAAAAATATATACTTGAGGGAAAACCTAAAATATATTTTAATATAATATAATTAAATGAATTTTATCCTGTTTATTTATCTGACTATATAATTAACCATGAAGGTATTTAAGGTGCTTTCATACACAAAATTTTTGTGAGATGATTTTAAAATTTTTTCATAGTCGAAATATAAAAATACTCTATTGTGAGTAATACTTATTATCTATGTGATAATAATTAGGTAACTTAAAAATTGTTATTGATTTAAGAACAACTTTTAATATATTTTGAATGGTTTTAAATTTCAGAGTATCCAACACATACAAAGATTTTAAAAGTATCTTCAATCCTCGATGAAAAGAAAAAGCTTCTTCAGAGTCCTATGCGGAATTTTTTAAATGATTTTCCAAAAGACTTAGCAGTTGGAACTAGTTCTGGAAAAAAGCAGAATAATCAGAACTCTGAAGAACTATCAAGTGATAACAATGATTTTAAAGTAAATTGTCCTGTGTGTTCAATGATGATTTGGAACAAAGAAATCAATAATCATTTAGATAATTGCATAATTAAAGACTAAATTTTAGGTACTCATATTAAATGCTTATTTTATATGTAATTTAATATTATGTAATATTTGTAATTTATTATATCAAAGGTTTTTTTAATGCATTTGAATATAGATTTTATTAAATTTATTCATCATAAAATATATTTTATTAATGTATCATGTTTTTTAAAGATGTACGTATTCATATTAAATCCTTGTTTTATGTATAATTTAATGTGTAATATTTGTAATTTATTATATCAAATGTTATTTTAAATTTTTGTATGTATTTGAATATGAATCTTATTAAATTTATGAAAAATAAAATATATTTTATTAATGTATCATGTTTTTTAAAGATTTCTTAAACATAGCTAAGCAATTTTATTGTGGATCACATACTGAAGGTATAGTTTAATACTTTTAAAATAATTTTTGGTCTCTTGAAGATGGAATTAAGTACCATGGGTATGAAGAAACTGTGTATATATGTGAAAATATATGTGGAAAAGAAACTTTTTCACATATATTTTTTTTACTGTTACAAAAATTCTGAATCTTTGTAAAATATGCTATTAAATATAACAGTCATATGCAGGTAATTTTAAGAAAGGTGGATTATTTTATAATTTGTAAAACTTATCTGTTGCAGTATTAAAATGTATCATATGCCATCTGTTAAGAAGAAAAAGATTATACTTCCATGTTTATTTGTATTGAATATTTATCTAAACATAATTGTTTCTCAGAGTTAGATTACTTAAAATGCTCAAAATGACCAGTTTTGTATTGTCCACTTCCTAGGTTTTCTGACTCGATTCCTTCCATTTTTTACGCTTTCTGAAGATACAGGAAAGAAATAGTATACATGTCTTCCATAGCATAGCAGTACAGCAGTTGAATCATGGTGATAAAAAAAATTGACTACTGTTTTGAATTATACAGAATATATAAGTGCAGAGATAAAATTCGGTATGCATAAAAAGTTCAAATAGCAAAATTTTAATATTTGTGCATTATGTGGCTTAAGATGTGTTAGTGCACAAAAATAATTTTGCAAGCAATTAAAATCTGGTACAAAATTTAATTATTGATCAAATCAGCCTTAGTATAAAACTATTCCATTTCTTTTCCATTCCATATTTTATTTTCCACATAGGGATAATATTCCATAAATGGATTTTTTATTTGCTTTCAAAATTTTATTATTATTACTTTATTTTACTTGAGGAACGAGTATATGAAAGAATTATTTCAAAAATCAAAAATTGTTGAAAAGAATTAATGAAGGCTGCAGGAAAGGAAGATCCATGCATCGGGGAATTATATCATGTATCTGAAGTTTTAAGATTTAAATTTGGATAGTCTAAAATTGAATAGAAATGTAAAACTAAAAAGGGATTTGTTCAGGTAGCGAGAACATGAAACCTATTTCTTATTAATTGTTGATGGTTGTGTGGGTAAGTGGGTGGCAGGTAAGTGCTTCTTGAACTCGCAAATGTATTTATTACAATTATGAGAAGCTCTTTACATATATACATACACAGAAAAATTATGGTATTGAGGTACAGTCCTCGTGATGTGAGGAACCTGCTAACGAGGGTCTCTCTAGTCATGAGTTCAAGAGCATTCTGGGGCCTTGTTCCGATGGAAAGAATCCGCAGACTGAATTAGCCATGCCTCCTTTAATTTTTCAGTAGTATTTTACACCATCTGATTCGCTTTATCTGGAATTATATCAGAGGGAAAACAGGATCATTGATTCATCAGCCCTCCTGAAATCGAGAGACTTTGATGACAGACACAGTACAGAAAGCTAAAATCTCTTGACACTGGTCATGAAGTTATGTCTCTTGTACTGTCGATTGAAAGAATTTTGCATCTGCGATGTCGTATGACACACCTTAAAAGCTTGGAAAGAAATTCCAATAGTTTAAATTAATAGTTAATAATTCCGAAAAATTTAGCCAATTATACTTGCATTTAAATTAAAAAATGATAAAACATCACCAAGACATTTCAAGTATATTGCTCAGTTTTCAACAAATCTAAAATGCATAACTGGGAAAGATAATATTGTTGCAGACTCGGCGTTTAACCATTATTATATCCAGTTTCGGACATCGATTATCATAAAATTGCGGATGAGAAAATTAATAATGAAGAACTAAAAGAATTACTAAATAGCAGCAAAAATTTAAATTTCAAACAATATCTGCTATCCTCTGGAAAAATAATCTGGTGTGATGTTTCAACTTCAAATATTCAACAACTTAGACCATAGCCATTTCAAAAGAATATTTCCCACAAAATACATGACTTGGACCATCCTGGTATAAAATCTTTAGAGAAACAAGTACTAACATCAATATTCATTTGGAAGGATATTAAAAAAGATGTGAGCGAATAGGCTAAAACTTGCATTAGTTGTCAGAAAAATAAAATTACTTGGTACAAATTCAACTCATTTGGAGAACCTGAAAATCTGATGAAAGATTTAGCATTTTCTGTATTTATATAATCGGACTACATCCATCATTAAATAGGAATAAATATTACTTAACAATCATCGATTGTTTTACTTGCTGGATGGAAGTTATACACATAGAAAATATTACCACAGAAACAATTCCAAAAGCATTTTATGCGAACTAGATTTATGGATTTAGTGTACCATTCAGCTTGACCACAGACCGGAAATCAGGTCAGATGAGAACTTTTCTGAATATTATATATTATTTGTGGGGTTGAAATGCAAATAACAATTTCATACTATCCACAAAGCATCGGAAAGATTGAAAGCTAACACAGAACATTTACCAACTGCACTCCTTGGTATGTATGCATCTTTACGTGATAATACCATGATATCAAAAGTTTCATTGCAGAAATGATTTATTGTAAACCACTGAAGCTCCAGAAGAATTCTTTCAAGAATCCAAAACCAAATTAATTGCAGATACTATCGAACTGCAAAAAGAAATGGGAAAATTAAAAACAGTTAAAAAGCCAATGTAAAAGAAATTATTTTTCCATGAGGATTTAGACTCATGTTTACGTGTATATGTCAGAGTGGACGGGAGGTTATAATAGATGGAGTTTATATTATTCATTATATATTATTCCGAGGTGGGACAGCGTTCGAGATAGACGTCTTATCCTTGCATTGCTGCCACCCCTGCTACTGTACCAAGTTCATCGACCTCGCCTCATGGGCTCTGGGTTGTTTTTTTCTTTGGCTTTTGCCCCGCAGAAGAGTCGCCTTAACTCCACTGCTACATCCTTCGCTGGATAAAACAGGTCGTATTTTATTCTTTCTTCTGATTCTCTTTATTCACCGTGCTGATAAGGGTACCTTCGGGTACAGCCTTTTTTCCAACCTATTTGCCTCACATGATTAATCAATATGACGCAACAAACATAAATGTAACTAATAATAACACAAACATGGAAAATTCACCTCCAAACTCAGAAAATCCTCACGAGACATCTCAATGATGAACCCAACGTTCTCCAAATATTAAGTCACAAAATTACTTTATCCAATGACGTCGAAACTACCAGATCCTTGGTGGGAGATATCCAAGATATCCGTAACGACCCAAATGTGATTATGTCCGCTAGTGATCAAAATGAACTAAACCTTCTCCTTGTAAAAGCAATTATCAACTGCGTATGCAGGAAAACGAGATGGTCAATGCAAAAATAAAAGGATTACAAGCCTTTAACGATAAACTCGCTAAACAGTTTGAAGGGATTAAAAACTTCTGCAACATACTTCAATCCACTAGTGGTTTCAAAGAAGAGAGAAAAAGAAAATTGCGCCATAGACAAACGGATTCTGACTCCGATGAGGAGCCTTCCCTCAAAACCAGCAGTTGATATAAACAATTACAGAACCAAATAGACGACATGCATTTGGACAACGAAGATGAATCAGCCACTCGGCTCACTACCACCCCAAAAGACCAACCAAACAAAAGTGACACCATTCCCGCAAATAGAAAACCAAACTCCAGCCCCAAAACAAGCAGAATTGATAAAGTGCCCATTATTGTCGTAGATGACGTACCAAAAGCGGATGAATTCTTAAAAAAGTAAACCGGAAAAGAGGTAACTGGCACCTTAAAAGGACGCCGCCTTGAAATACAGCCTGCAGACTCTGACTCACATCGATTCATTCGCAAAATAGTTGAAGAAACAAAGCTTAAAGCCCACACCTACTTATTGCCCGAAGATAAAGTTTTAAAAGTCATAATAAGAGGCTTACCCATCACCACAGATCCCCAAACCATCACTCGAGAATTACTTGACAAAGGATTCAAGGTTAACTTTATTACACTATTAAGAAACAGAAACGAAAATAAAACAATGCCTCTTTTTTGGCCGTACATGTACCAAAACCAGAAGAATATAAGGAAGCATTCAGAATCAAACGCATAGGTTATATGAAACGTATTAATAGAATCATTATGCGAGAAACCCGGCCCTCCACAATGTTATAGATGCCAGGGATTTTTATCACAAGTTCCTTGCTCTGCACCAGAGACTGGATATGCGGAGGCAGTCATAAACCTATAGAATGCACCCGTAGCCGCGACCAGCCAGCTATATGTTATCATGCAAATGTCCTCACCCAGCGAACTTCTCAAATTGTCCGGCCAGACCAAAAAACAAACAAGTTCAATTCCTACCCAGCCATCCACCAGCAATCAATCCCTGGACTAACAGAATACAAGACTCTCCTCCGTTGACATCAAACAACAGTAACGAAAATCTCGCTCAAACATCCATTCAAAAAGAAAATCCAACAGAAGAAACTATCAGCACCACAGAATCCTCCCTGTCAGACTCTTTGACTTCTCTTCGCTAAAAACAATCTGGACAATAGTGATACAAGGACTCAAAAACATTAAAACCAAAAATAATCGCAGTAGTCGATATCATTGAAAAAATAGGAAATTATCTTTAATCCTAATAAATTCAAGAACAGGTGCAATATAAAAATCCTCTCTTGGAACGCAAACGGTCTTTACCATAAAAAAGATGAATTATCTAACCTCATTATTGAAATTGAACCTGACGTAATACTCATACAAGAGACTCGCCTTAAACCAGCGCTCAAAGTACTTTATGCTAATTATAACACCTACCGTACGGATCGTGAGACAGGAAGAGGCGGTGGCATCATCACATTTGTTAAAAGGAGCATAAAACACTCTCAAATTCCTAATCCCAGCACCACTTTCGAAAGTAACACAATAGAAATTGTAATTGAGCATAAAAAATTTAAAATTTCTAATATATACATCCCACCAAATAATAATCCCAGCGCACAAGAATTGATTCACCTCCTTAATTCTAATACTTGTACCATTGTCGGAGGGGACTTCAACGCCAAACACCCCTGCTGGAACCGAGGACCTGCTAATAAAAAAGGAAATGACATATTTAAACTCGTTCAATCAAATAATTATAACATTCATGTTCCAGACGAGCCCACCCATTACGGGTACAATAGTGCCACCACAATTGACTTCTTCATTTCAAATAACATTACTAACAGATGCAATATCTGTAATTTCAACCCTGTCTTCCGACCACAACCCCATTGTATTTGAAATCCCCATTGATAAATACCTCCCCTCACTTGACAGAAGTATAGGAGTTACAAATTGGATCAAATACTCAGAAATTCTGAATAACTCCATAAAAGGTAACCCATGCATCAACAACAAAGAAGATTTTGAACACGAAGTCTCAAAATTACCAACTGCGTCAATTCTGCTTTAAGAGAAGCCACCAATACTTTTTATGTGAACAAGCCTTTCCTCCCCCTGACTCCCGATATAAGAAATAGTATTAAAGAGAAAAACTGGATCCGTAAAAGATGGCAAACCACCAGGGATCCACAACTCAAACACAAACTAAACTCTATGCAAAAAGAAATCAACAGAAGAATCAAGAACTTCAAAAACCAAAAATGGACTAATTTCCTAAATAACCTAGCTACTGAGGACAATTCCTTATTTGACATTTCCCGCAAATTCAAGAAACCTTATAAACCTATTCCACATATCCATGGACCTAGTGGAATTTCATATGCAGAAGAAGAAAAAGCTAAATCTTTTGCGGACTATATGGAAGATACATTCACTCTTAATCCCACTCCGTACGACAATAACCATATTGAACGGGTCAACCAGGTGGTCAATAACTTCCTTAATACCCCTGCTCCGTACAACTTCACTTTCCTGACTACCCCAAGAATGGTTGCCAACACCATCAGCGCCTTACAAACGAAGAAAGCCCCAGGGCACGATGGCATCTCGACCAAAGCACTGAAGCATCTTCCGATCGACGCTCTTACCTGCCTAACTAGGATAATCAACAACATTATCAAATTCGCTCATTTTTCTAACTCATGGAAGCAAGCTATAAAAATTGTTTTTGCTAAACCGCAACAAAATCCAACCTTCCCTCAGAACTATTGCCCTATCAGTTTACTTAGCCATCTGTCTAAAGTTACTGGGAAAATCCTACTTTTCCACATCCAAAAAATTCACCCTTCCATGAATTTTCTCCCAGAAGAACAATTCGGTTTTCGTAATCATCATAGCACTTGCCACCAACTTCTTAGAGTTATCAACATTATCAATGAAGGCTACAACTGCAAGCTTCCGACCGGTGCTATATTTCTCGATATCGCGAAAGCCTTTGACAGCGTATGGCATCGAGGCCTTATTTACAAACTAATCACTCTCAGTTTTTTAGATCATTTTATTCGCTTAATAGCCTCTTTTCTCAGCAACAGAACATTAAGAATCAAAATCGGTACTGCTTACTCAACCACCAGAGTAATCAATGCTGGTGACCCACAGGGGTCGGCACTTTCGCCGTACCTTTTTAATGTTTATACACAAGACATCCCTAAAGACCCTTCTGTTCATCTTGCACTCTTTGCCGATGACACCGCCATACTTACTAAAGCCTGCACAGTTATCGCCCTAAGAAACCAACTCCAAAACTATCTCATAAAACTGGAAAAATGGCTCACCCTTTGGAGGATTAAAATTAACACTGATAAAACTAAGGCAATAATTTTCCGTAACGGAAATATGAAATACTATCCTCCAACCCCCTGAAATATTTGACGAAGAAATAGACTGGATTAATGAAACCAAATACCTTGGAGTCACCTTTGATCAAAAACTTACCTTCAGAACCCACTTCCGGTCCGTAGTACAAAAATTTAAAATCACCACAGCTACTATGCGACCTCTTCTTGGTAGAAAAAGCAACTTAACTACTACAAACAAATTAATTCTATACCGCTCCATTCTTCGCCCAGTCCTTTTTTATGCAGCATCGATCTGGGGACATGCAGCTAAAACCAATATTAAACAATTACAAATTCTACAAAATAAAATTATACGAAAATTATCAGTGCTCCTTGGTATATTCCAAACATCTATATTCACAGAGACCTTCGAATCGAACTTATTCAACAGTATAGTAAACGATTATCGGTCAACTTCTTTTATTCAGTACAAACCCACAGTAATAGCCTTATTAGCACTCTCAGACACTCCCCGCATCCAAGAGAAAAACATCGGTACCCATGTGACATTCTACCCACATAAGAATTACAACCTTAATTGACTCATTCACGCTAAACTGACTCTGCGGTATAGCACCCGCGGCTACATCTTATAACGACACTGTAATTGCCACCCCCTTTTTTCGCCGCCGCTAGTGCAGACCTCACTCTCTTTTTTCCGCCTCCCACACTTCCTTCCACTCTACTCTTTCTTCCCCCACCCTTTCCTTATCAGAAGTCAAGTAAAAAGATGTTTCTACCTCTTGACACTCGAGAATAAAATACGATCTGTGTGTGTGTGTAACTCCCGAGCGCGGAGTATAAAGGTCTTAATACTCCATGAATAGACATGTTCCATGGTTTCTACAACCTTGTGCAGACTTCGAATGGCAGCAAAAGATATTATTAGAATAATAATGTTTTAAAAAAGACATTTCAAGATCAAAGTATTAAAATAATAAATATGTTGTTACATATGGCTTTATTGGAAAGGTCAATTCAAACATATAAAACAGCTCAAGTATCACACAAGAACAATGATAAATAATAAAAAAGAACAAACATTTATAAAGAATCAGAATAAATGAACATGGGAACAAAAGTAAAAAGTTAAAAATTTAGACAACAAGGAAAGGAACTTTAGAGATGTAGTCTTTACAAGACTCTGGCATTCCAATACAGTTTACTTCTCTCACCACGTTTCTGAGACTCTTTATCTAGTTCTAAGCATATAAGAAAATGCTCTGTATTCAGGATGCCCGAATTGCAAATTTGACATATACTAGATGGAAAGAATGCGAATTTTATTAAGATGATATGCAATGGAATCGTGACCTGTTTGCAGTCTAAAGTTTTCCACAGCCTCTTTACGGGGGTTTTCACAAAACGTTTTTCATATGTCTTGAATATTAGCCCAGGATTTGCCTGCTGATTTTGCTGCCTAGTCAGATTTAATAGTATTCATTAATTTCTCAAAAATATGCTTTTTAAGTGACTCTGGAGGAAGTGGTTTGCTGTCTTGTGGCGCAAGTGTTCCCCTCTTGGCTAGTGAGAGTGCCTTTTTGTTACCGTCGATACTTGAATGTGAAGGGGTCTATTGAGAAACGATTATTTTGTTGTGTTTATAAAGAAAATTCAAGATTTGTCTTATTTCTGAGATAATTTCTAAGATATCATGATTTATAACTACAGCCTGGGTGGTTGCTTTGGAATCGACTAGAGTCAGTGGCATAGATAGGATGGCTCAAGGGGGGGGGATCTGTCCAAGGGCGCAGCATCCAAGGGGCCGCCAAATTGATACTACGAAATTTTTTAATGAAATGTTTTCCATTCTTGGCACCCAGAAAGAGGCGCAAATTCTTCAGTTGACCCCGTGCGCTGGAAACTCTAGCTACGCCCCTGACTAGAATAACTAATTTAGAGAAACAATCGATCTTTATCTTGAGGTTTTCCAGAGCCAGTGAGATTGCAAGGATCTCTGTATCAAAATTAACCATGAATAGTCCCACAGGAGTACATCGGAAAAAAAGTTTACTGTATGCATTAGCCCCAGTGTTGTCTTGTTAAAATAATAAATAATATTCTTCAAAATGTAGTAGTGGAAACTTATTCTTAAACAGAAAAATAATATTTTGTGATGTAGCAACTGCTGCACGTAATTTCTGCTGAAACACTCATGGGTATTAATGGAGAGAAAATTAAAGAAATTTTTTATTTTCCCTGCCTTCCTTCAGTTTTTTGGAAAATTTTTTAAAACTTTCCTTTTAATAACACAGAGACACAGAGAAACACGGCTCTTTAGGAAAACTGAGATATGTAATACGAACTCTAATTTTTAAAGAGGGCCTTGTCTCATGCACCACAAACAACGCTTCCTGTTAAAATAGCATCATTGAAGTAATAGGTGAAGATGTTTTATCTATGTGGTAAGAATATCGCTTGCCACGAGAGAGCGAATGTTAGCAATCGAAAAATGTTAAATTTCGAGTAACTATTAGGTGGCAACAGTTAAGTTTGTTATTGGTTATGCAAGGTAAAGGTGGTCGTGAAAGGAATGTGACGTATTTGAGTAGCTATTTGGTACAGTAATTTAATATTTTACTTAGAAATGCGTTTTTAGTGATGTGAATGTTTTGTCTGCTTTTTTTTTTTGGTCATAGCATGGTTGGGTTTTTCGTGTTTTCGCTTTTGTTTAGAAAATAATTACCCATCTTCAAAGTATGATCCTCTGTTTTGAAACTTTGTAAATTGCTATAATTTAATTTATTAGAAATCTTGGTATAATATTTTTATGCTTCCATATGTGGGTTTTCATCCGCAGAGAACCCGTTGGCGCTGTTGTATTTTTACTCGCCAAGCTCGCCGTTCATCGACGATGAGCCGAGCCAAAGAATATGTATGTAGACATTCTTTGGCCGAGCCGTAAACGTGATTTTTATTGCATGTAAATTCAAATTAGCAGACAAAACAAGATATTAAGGATATGGTAGTAAAAATTCACAGATAATAAGTATGTAGATGAAAAACAACCGGTTAAACGAAAATAAATTTGTATTAAATTCAAGTTAGCACAGAAAAGAATATATTAAGCATAAGACAATACATAACGATTTATAACGGAAATAAAAATTCATTTAAAAAATAAAAATTAGTATTAATATACTGAAATTAACCGGTTAAGCGTGATATACGGAAAAAATTTGTCTTAAATTCCAGTTAACACAGAAAACAATATATTCCTTACACCAGCAGTGGTTTGCTAATTTTGATGACCATGGTGATGCATCAAACTTTCTGTCATCTTAGATAATCAATAATATTTTTTATTTCAATTTAATCATCTATTTATGTCACCTGCCATCCTCTGAAAGGTTATTGTTAGAAAAGCATTAACAATATATTGTTAAAATTTTACGCCATAAAAATTCATTTATTCTCATGACTTTAGATGACAATAACCAATAATAAAAATAAAAGCATTTCTGGTTGATCTTTACATTATGGTAACTTGGCGTTTTTTTGGCAAAAATTTGGCGACCAACTCTCCTACAGCAACCCTCTATTTTTTTCCCGCCGCCATTTTGTCTTCATGAAGTAAAGACATGTTTCTTTTCTTTTTATCTACTGAACACTTCTTCCAACAATCTACTAGCCGAATTACACTTATGCTAGAAATTTTATCTCACAAAACTGCTTAATCATGACAAATATTCACTGCAAAATTGGGAAAAAGTGCACAATACCATACTCCTTATGCGTTTTTCAAAATAACACATACACATAAACCATGTACACGCCGACTTATTTTTACTTAAAAAAAAAACATCCCAGAATTGCACAAAAATGGCATTGCTCACACTCTTCACTATATCCATGTACACTGCTTTTTCTCTCATAAATTAGAAAATTTCACGAAAATACATGACAATTTTCTCAATCTTTAAACCCGGTAAAAAGAACATACATGAAATTACCTGATCGCGAAAAAGTATTTACCCTTTCCAAATATGAACATTTCCACATATAAAATAATAAAATATCCAAAAAACCTCTAAATTCATCTATTACATTATACACATCACCAACGAATTCATACCGCAAGCATTACAAATACTTAGTATCAAAATTTAAATTATTTCCATGCACGTTTACTTCAACTTAAACGTGTACCAAATTCCTACAAACATAAAATTCACAAAATAACTATCATTTAATTAAAATATCACTAAACCATGTACACGTCGACTTATTTTTACTTAAAAAAACATCCCAGAATTGCACAAAAATGGCATTGCTCACACTCTTCACTATATCCATGTACACTGCTTTTTTCTCATAAATTAGAAAAATTTCACGAAAATACATGACAATTTTCTCAATCTTTAAACCCGGTAAAAAGAACATATATGAAATTACCTGATCGCGAAAAAGTATTTACCCTTTCCAATATGAACATTTCCACATATAAAATAAATAAATATCCAAAAACTTTTACCTCTAAATCATCTATTACATTATACACATCACCAACGAATTCATACCGCAACCATTACAAATACTTAGTGTCCAGATATTTAAATATTTCCATGCACGTTTTTTTCAACTAAAACGTATACCAAATTCCTACAAACATAAAATTCACAAAAAACTATCATTTAATTAAAATATAATTAAATTCAAAAACACTACTTAAAATATAAATGAGCACATACATTAAATTAATACATACATAAATACCCATTTCGAATTCACTTTAGTTACGGCCATGGGATCCAAAAATCACGAACTGTTTCACACAACCAGAATAAAGCCAAATACAAAACTTCCAGATTTTTTCCCGATTTCCCCCCTTTTCCGATTAAAGAACCGTAATTCGTCCATTAATATCTCATGACATATCCCATTGATCTCTCGTTTACCTCACACAAAATAATGCGTAATCGGAACTGAGTACTGCTCACATTATTACCAAAGTCCCAGGTAGTAACCTTTATCGCCTCCAAAATGTCGCCAAACTACCAGTTACCATATTGTAAAGATCAACCGTATTTCTTCATTATTTAAAATGCAAATTATTTTAGATGTTAAAAAATTCAGAAAAAATATTAATAAATAAGAAAAGAATAATATAAATCTGCAAATCGAACAACGACAGTGATGATTCAACAAAATGAACGCATGAGGAATGGTTGGAAACTTCAAACAAGGGAATAGGATAAATCCGATGGGTGACCATGTTTGAACTATTATCGCCAAAGTTGGCGATGTTTACATTTACCGGGTTCTCTGCAGAAGTGCTTCCCAGTATTTTTTTATTTCAATTTAATCATATATTTATGTCACACCTGCCATCCTCTGAAAGGTTATTGTTAGAAAAGCATTAACAATATATTATCTTGTTAAAATTTTATGCCATAAAATTGATTATTCTCATAATTTAGATGACAATAACCAATAAAAAAATAAAAAGCATTACTTAATTATTTAAAATGCACATGCACATTTTTTGCGGTCTACGAAATCAAATTATTTTAGACTTTGGAAACCTCATGGTTCTTAGAGCTGTTAATAATTAAGAACACAACGTGAACAGCCGTGTTACAAATTAGCATTCAGCCCTCCTTTCATCCCGAACCGAGAATGGCATCTATCCGAAAATTTCTATCTATTCGTTGTTAAAAATTCAGAAAAAATAAATAAATAAGAGAAAGAATAATATAAATCTGCAAATGCGAACAACGACAGTGTTAATTCAACAAAATAAACGCAAGAGGAATGGTTGCAAACTTCGAACAAGCAAATTGGATAAATCCGATGGGTTACCAAGTTTGAACTATTATCGCCAAAGTTGGCGATGTTTACATTTACCGGGTTCTCCGCGGAAGTGCTTCCAAATACGTAATGTTGATGACTCTTTGTTTTTAGGTAGAAAAAACTGATAAGGTGGAAAAGCCATCTGTATCTACAGAGGTGCGAAGTGATAATCTAAATGGAGAATCCGAAAAAAAGACTGAAAAAGAGGAAGTTGCTCCATACGAAAAGAAATATTATGGACTTCTACATAGATGTGAGATTATAAAACAGGTAGGCATGGTTCTTGGAGATTTTCTTCTCAGTTTAAAATTAAATTTTATTTCGTAATACAGTCAGGTTTCAGTAGATTTTAAATACAGTTGAGTGAAGTTATAATCTCTCTCCCTAAATGTGAAACCTCCCGTGATTACGTCGTCTGGTAGATCACCACTTGAGGTAGTATGTAATATTTCCGAGTACAATGCTGTTGAAAATCATTATTATTTCGAAACCAACTCCATGTAAGACCAAAATCATCTCGAATCATAAGTGTTAATCTTAGGTTTCAGTGAATGTTTTCTTTTCTACCTGAGCAGATTTGGGCTGTAGTGTAGAATTGGGTGCCCCTTCGATTAGCGACAATTTTTTGTAAAATTTTGGCGATGGAATCTCATTTCTGGTTACCATGATAGTTTAACTTTGCTTTAGCCTCCTGATTTTTTTAAAAATAAAAATAGATTGATGTGTACATGGACAAATTTAAAGCAGTGCTCAATGCCTAGTTTGTGCAATTCTGGGATATTTTTTTAAGTGAAAACAGATCGATGTGTACATGGACAGAGTTTATACAATTCTTTGACTTCTTATTTTGGTTTTGTGTAGCGCCCATCTTGAAATTGTGTCTTCCTGGCGCCGATCTTGGCGTCAAAAAAGAATCGCCAATAAACAAGCACCCAATTGTAAACTTTTACCCAGATTTGGTTCTTTAAATAGAAAATTTTGGGTACTATTCTGTTTTGAGGGCCGTAAAAAAGCGCCGAATTATTTTTGATGCCAGTGCTGCCAAAAATAATTGCGGCAACCCTAACGCAAGAAAGGAAGTATAATAGTAAATAACTAAGATTGATGTTTTTAGATCAAAGGAATTTCATATGCTTTATTATTATAATTTATATAAAAAAGGCTAAACATGATTGAATGGAAGCATAATAGTAAATAACTATTTCGGAACGTTATTATAATTTATATAAAAATTGCTAAACATAACTGAACGGATGTCTGCATCGCTATTTTGCTACCGAGTTATCGCGAAAGCATAATTTCATCTTGTTGGTTGTTCAAAGATAATTTTCTATAATGAATGATGCCTTTTCTTTGAAAAAATTCTCGGTAAAGTGCAGAATCGCCCACTTATTTGTTTGTCGCTTTTTACAAGGGTAAAAACAATTGGATTTTTGTCAATAATCTTTTACTTTTTGAGTGAAAATAGGTCGATGTGTACATAGATAAAGTCAAGGGTGTGTGCAGTGCCATTTTTGTGCAATTCTAGGATTTTTTTTTTGAAGTGAAAATAGGTTGATGTACACATGGATACCAAGTATGTGAAATTCTTAAAAACACGTCAAGCAGTGGGTGATTCTGCACTTTACCCAAAATTCTGTTGCAGACTTTTCATTATGGGCAATTTCCAAATTGTTAAATCCATAGGATATCAAAAAAAAAAAAAAAAAAAAAAAAAAAAAAAAAAGTTTAAAATTAAACTAGTACAGTCAAAAGTCGTTAATCCGGTCTCGTCGGGACTTCGGCGATTACGGATTATCGATTTTTCTGGACTATAGATCATCAGTTTAAATCTGGTAAAATGGCATGCAGAAATATAAAATTAAAAATATGAAACCGTAATTTACGAAATAAAGAACAATTATGATCTAAAGTGTATCAAAATTTACAAAAAAAAAAAAAAAAAAAAAAAAAAAGAAAAGCTTAATAACTATTTGTTTACTTTATTAAACATTTCTTTCAATGCAAGTTGTTTAAGTTGCTTTGTTTTTTATGTGATAATACATTCTCTTAACAGACATAATTTCTTGTTCAGTTATAAAGTTTTACTGTTCAAGTCCTATAATTGCTGTGTCGAGAATACCGACTAATTTGTCAGTCGAAATTTTTTCGTTTTCAATAACCTCTGTCACTTTCTTCGCTATCGGAAGCGAATTATAATGACGAGGCATTTGATTTAAATCATATCAAAGACGGAGTACATCGAAATGAAATACTACATTTAGTAAGCAATTATAAGCCAAATAAAATAAAAACATCTGCCCTGAAGATAAGGATAGTGCTGACAGATCAACTTCCAATTCATTGCTCGCGCCGCTGCATTAAAGATAAACAAAGTTTAGATAAACAAATGTTAAAGTTTAGATAAACAAAGGATATGCCTTTATTTAATTTTTGCAGCAATTCCACTTTTTGTTTAATGGACTCCAAAACATTCTTTCGCTTTGTAGATCCGTTACATATTAGTAAATATAAATCGGAAATTCTATTTGACATAATCGAAAGTTCAAGCTTACTTATATAAAATTGCTCTAACAGTCTGCAAAAAATAATATCCAATTCGAAGATTAAGGAACAACGCAATCTGCAACATTAACTGAAATAGATAATTAGATAATTTTAGCTTAGCTTATACCGTCCGTATTTTGCATCTGCGCACACGCAAATTCGCAGCCGTAAAGGTCTTACGCACATGCGTAAACGCGACGCATGCGCAGAAAGTTTGTAGCTTTGAGGTCCGGATTATAGATCATTCCGGATTATGGGTGTCCGAATTAACGACTTTTGACTGTATTTCAATGGCGTCTTAAGAAATATAGAACTGTATAAACTTACACAATCTGAAATCAGCGCATACGCTAGATTTGGCGCTGTTAAATAGATGTGTTTGCTAGATTTGGCACTTTTTCGCTGGAATTTTTTTTACGGTCCTCAAAACAGAATAGTACCAAATTTTCCTGTATCGGTTTCAAGTCCTTTTTATATTTTAGACTCTGTTTCTAAAAAATGAATTGTTTGTTAATTTTCCGTCTAATAAGTTGCACTCATATGTAAATAGTGCTGAGACAAGAAAGGGAGAAATGCCATAGTTTCACTTCATAAACTGTACAGTTCCATCCTAATTTTATGAGAGCACATCCCTGAGAATGGATCGGAGGGTCTTTGACCCTTTAGCCCCTACGACCGAGCCACTTAAAACAACTCTTGGTTGTTTTATGTCCCTGTGCTGCATAGAAACAAACACTTGTTAATATCCATGCCTTCTAGAGAACGCATGGATATTAACTACATATTATATTGACTTGAACCCAGCTGCAGAATATGGTAGCTCACGTTGCTCTGATCACTGTACAAAAGAAAAAAAAAAAAAAAAAAAAAAGAAAAAACTAAGTGGGTCAGATGCTTCTGCAACAGTGTTATTTGTTGGATTGTAGAGGGCCTGACAAATGTTTTATTGTAATAGGTGTAGATAAAAGTGCATCTCAGAATTCAACAGGAATGAGTGGTGCAAATTTTCTTCAAACTTTTATAGTTTGATGGTAGCCAGATTTTACAATCGATGGAATGTCCTCTTTCATTTTGACTTGTTAATTTTTAGCTAAAATTATCTAATTCAGTTAATGTTGCAGATTGCGTTGTTCCTTAATCTTCGAATAGGATCCGGCTTATTATTTTTTGCAGACTGTTAGAGTAATTTTATTAAGTAAGCTTGAACTTTCGATATGTCAATAGAATTTCCGATATATATTTACTAATATGTAAAGGATCTACAAAGCAAAAGTATGTTTCGAAGTCCATTAAACAAAAAGTGGAATTGCTGCAAAAAATACATAGGAATAATCCTTTGTTTTGAAAAAGGCATAATCCTTTGTTTGTCTAACCATTTCGAAATCTGTTTATCAATTTCACGCTGATGTGCGGCGAAGGGGGGGGGAAACGCCGTGGCGCGCAATGAATTGGAAGTTGATCTGTCAGCATTATCCTTATCTTTAGGGCAGATGTTTTTATTTTATTTGGCTTATAATTCCTTACTAAATGTAGTATTTCATCTCGATGTACTCTGTCTTTGATATGGTTAAAATCAAATTCCTCGTCATTATAATTCCCTTCCAATAGTTAAGAAAGTGACACAAAGGTTATTGAAAACGAAAAAATTTTGATTGACAAATTAGTCGGTATTCTCGACACAGCAATTGTAGGACTTCAACAGCAGAACTTTGTAACTGAAGAAGAAATTATGTCTGTTTATAGAATTAAAGAGAAAGTATTATCACAGGAAACGGAGCAACTTAAACAACTTACATTGAAAGAAATGTTTAATAAAGTAACAAATAAATATTAAGTCTTTTTTTTGTAAATTTTGATACCCTTTAGATCATAATTATTCTTTATTTCATAAATACGGTTTCATTTTTAATTTTATAATTTCTTATGCCATCTTACCGATTTAAACTGATGAGCTATAATCCGGAAAAATCGCTAATCCAGAATCGCCGAAGTCCCAACGAGTCCGGATTAACGACTTTTGACTGTACCAGACTGTTGATAGCATTTGTTTCAAAAATCTGTTTATTACACCTCACCCACCTTCCATAGTGTTGATATTCCAAATCCTTAAATCTCGCTGAGTAATTTACTGAGAGGTAAATGAAACCATTTAAATATTCATTTACACACCAATCAATATTTTCTTTCCCAGTCGTTCTAACTTCAGGTTAATCGTACCACCAGCAGGCATTTTATGTTGTAAAGGACAAAATAAGCAACATACTACCTAACCAACATCCAACACATAAATAAGCTCTTACGAATATTTTCTTATCAGTCAAATTCACCGCAATCACGCAACCAGTCATGACATAATATACTTCCTAACCAATCATGTCTCATGTCATAATTCAACTACTCAGGTTGCCATAAATGAAACAACAATTTGGTGATAATCCAAGGGGTACCCTAAAATATAGACTAACATTTATTTCTTTTAGTTAGTTAGGTATGTAGAGAAAAAGGTACTTATTGGTTATAGCAGTCTTGGCAAAAAACAAGAATTGGCATGTTTTAGCCTTTGATGAGTAAGAGGTAGGTAGTAGTACGCATTATTCAATTCATGCAGTGTCTGCATTACACATTATAATATATATAAGCAGTGTAATATAAATATATATCCATTTTATTTAATATAGTTTTATAAATAAGTTATTTAAAATTAGAAAACAGAAAAGATGCCAAGGAAAAAATAATTTTTAACAATGGATCTTTCTGGAATTTTGGAAATGTGCAACGTTAGTAAAATTATTTTAAATGCGAAAATAGCGGTTCCATATAAAAAAACAAATGTTACATTTTCGTTTGTTTTCAGATCTGCAGGCCATGGCTTGGAAATAAAATAAAATTGGTATGCATCTGTAACGACATTTATCAATGTAATTTACTGTACAGTAATAATCGCTATATTACCATGTAATCTCTAGCAGCCTTGCGAGTGGCTTTCTCTAGCAGCCTTGGTGAGAAAAAATGGCATTGTTACAGAGCCTTGGGAAAGTGTGATTAGTTGCCAAATGTTATAAACAACCACGAAAACGCAGTTGACTATGATAAACATGAATCAGCAATTCATTCTATATCTATGCAGTGCAAAAATGATTTAATTTAGGAAATTTAATATAAATTTGTATTGTATCATGTAATAAAATGTTGTAAGTAGGTATTTAAATAACTCATTTAATATATGCTTAATTTTGTATTTATGTATTATTTAATTTAATATAACATGTATGTAAAACACCAAAAATTCTATTTATTATTATACATACCGTAAAATTCTATTTATTATTTTCACAGATTCTCGTACTGTGTAAAACACATTTTTGAGGGGGGGGGACAATTTCTTCTTTTTTCATTGATGGCTTGGTTTGGTTTGGTTTATGTAATTATGGCAAAGCACACTAGGGCTATCTGCCTAAGGAAAGGGATGCCTTCGTGGAGGACTAAGGGAAATTGGCTCACATACACGTTACACATGGTAAAACCACGTAAACGCCCATTCGCGGGATTAGAACCTCGGACCAAACTATCAGTGTTCAGCGACTTTACCGCTCGGCCATTTGTGGGTTATTTTTTCATTGATGGAACACTGAAAATAGTCAGCTTAATGAATATTTAACAATGAAAAGCAAATCGCTATATTGATGCAATGCAAGTATGGAACCAGTTAGGTTAACCATTTGTCTTTTGCACACGCACAGAATGATAACCATTTGCTTCTCACCATGCATAAACATACAAAGTCTACTTTGTCATCAGGAATGCTGTAGAAGGAAAAACATTTCACTCTTAAATGTCTTGAGACCTGTAGTATATGTAAGAAATTTTAGATCTAAATCACTTTTTATGTAATTGTTTGAGGTCCTACGGTGTTTCCTGTTAGTATATTTGAAGTATTGAATGTAATAAAAATGTGTGTGTGATACAAGCATGTGCTTTCTAATCACTTTTTTATGTAATTTGATGTCCTAGGACATTTCGTGATAGCAGATTTGAAGTTTTTAATGTAAATAGAAATGTGTGCGTGATACATGCATGTGCCTTCAGATTTGTTTGTTTCTGTTATTGATTCACATAATTTACCAATACAGAGTATGTAATTAATTTTTCCTGTTACAGAGTAATGAGAGACTTGTGAACAGGATTTATCATGTAAAGAAACTACTAAGAAGACGTAAAAAGGAAAGGAAGTATGTTTTTTTTTTATAGTAGCCATGCAATATTTTCTGCTTTACTATTAATTGTCTATAATCTGTTTATTCATAAAAATAATTTAAACTTTGTTGACAGCCTTCCATTGATTTAAAATTGGAAAAATATTTTGATTGCTACTTAAAATTAAGACAGATATTACAACCTGCATTTTATATCTGCCATATGATTGTTAAATCTTAATCAGTAATGATCTGCAATTTGGAACCTGAACTTAAGATGTAGCGATACCTTATGTGATGCTTGGAGGAAGTAATATGTCTGAAGTTTTGGAATGCTTATTGCTTTATTTTTAGTTTTGAAGAATTACTACAGTCAAAAGTCGTTAATTCGGACACCCATAATCCGAAATGATCTATAATCCGGACCTCAAAGCTAAAAACTTTCTGCGCATGCGCCGCATTGACACATGCGCATTAGGCGTTTGCACGTGCGCGTAAGACTTTTACGATTGCGCATATGCGCGTGCGCAAGCGCAGAATACATTTTCGCGTGCGTGTTTTATGTATAACGGATGGTATAAGCTAAAATTATCTAATTATCTATTTCAGTTAATGTTTGATGATTGCGTTTTTCCTTAATTTTCGAATTAGATCCGGCTTATTATTTTTTGCAGACTGTAAGAGCAATACTATAAAGGTAAACTTGAACTTTCGATTATGTCAATAGAATTTCCGATTCTGGGAGCTCCCAAAGGATCGTACAAAACGAAAGTATGTTTCGATGTCCATCAAACAAAAAGTGGAATTGCTGCAAAAAATGGATAAGACATGAAGAATGGGACAGAGAGGTTAGTGAAAACGAAAAATTTCGATTGACAAGTTAGTCGGTATTTTCGGCACACGCAATTAACGAGACTGAACAGCAAAACTTTGTAAATGAAAAGAATTATGTCTGTTTATAGAATTAAAGAGAAAGTATTATCACATAAAATGAAGCAACTTAAACAACTTACATTGAAAGAAATGTTTAATAAAGTAAACAAATAATATTAAGCTTTTTTTTTTTTTTTTGTAAATTTTGATATCCTTTAGATTATGATTGTTCTTTATTTCATAAATTACGGTTTCATATTTTTTAATTTAGAATTCTGCATGCTATCGAATTTAAACTGATGATCTATAATCCGGAAAAATTGATAATCCGGAATCGCCGAAGTCCCGATGAGTCCGGATTAATGACTTTTGACTGTACCATAGAAAATTATCTCTTACAAATATAAACTGAGTGGGGGAGAATTAAAGACTTATATATTTTAAAGTTTTTATTGAGTACTTAATTCAGTATGGGTTTGTTTAAGTGCAGCATGGTACTAGAAATTCATACAGTGATATTAATGATCTCGAAGTAGTAATATTTAAATTGCATCACTCATTTCTAGCTTATATGTGATGTATGAATCTTCTTGTCTATTCAAAGAAATATTTAACATCAGACATGTATTTTGAATAAAATTACGCATACAGAATTGTTTAATTTTTTTTTTCTTCTAGATTTTTGATGGATAGACTTGATGGTTATGGAGACGATTATCGAAGTGTTGCACTATCTCTGTTTGCTGAGGTAAAGTTAATTTTTTCTTAACTAACTTTTATTGAGAAAAATTTAGTTTCTTTAACTAACTATAAGTTTATTTAGAAAAAAGTTAGTTTCTTTAACTAACTTTAATTTCTAATTTTTTAATAGAATCAAAACAGTAGTATACAAATATAAGATATGTAAAATTACATATGTAAGTTTTTTTAAGCTTACATATGTAAGATAGAAAAAAAATATATAAAGCAGACTGCTAATTTTAATATGCTATATTCTTTTAATTGTCTGTTTGAATGTGGGCATTTCCTTTCTCCATTCTTTTCGTAATGCTAATAATGCAGATAATTTGCAAACTCAAACCACCAAACTTTTAATAGCCAGTGAGGAGATTGCAAACATAAACCTTTTTCCTTCTGAAATTGGTCTCCATGAGATATTTCACTTTTTGCTTATTGCTTCTCTTGCTAATAAACCTGCTGTTGTCTAAATTGTATTTTAAAAATTTAATGGTACAGATAATAAATTTTTGACAAATGAGGAATAAAAGAAGTATTGTAATCCAGCCAGGATTGTTAGTTTCATGATTCTTTTATGCATCTGCATGATGCCAGGTTTTCTCCACATTATTATGAGTATATATACTACAGTACAAAGTTCGGAATTTTGTAGAACTTAGGTCATCATTTTAAATTTAGTAAAATGCAATATATAAATTACAAAATTAAAAATATGAAAAAGTTGTTTGTGAAATAATGGAGCATTTATGACCTTCAGAGAATCAAAACTTGCAAAAAAAAAAAAAAAAAGTTCTGTATTTATATGCATTTTCTTTATTTTACACATTTCTTTCAACATAAGTTGCTTCATTTTTTGTGCTAATACTTGCTTTTTAATTTTATGGATACACATAATTTATTTTTCAATTACAAAGTTCCATCGTTCAAATCCTGTAGTAGCTGTGGCAGGAATTACCGCTGAACTGTCATTCAAATTTTTTTGTTCTCAGCATCCCCTCTGTTACTTTCCTCAGTATTGGTAGGAATATTTTCTGGATTTAGAATTATACTACAGATTTCATTGTTCATTAGTTGATTGATGATTGGAGTATTTTCTTCATAATTGAAACCTTGTGTTATATCATCTTCATTTATTAGCATTTCCCCAGATTTTCTTTCACTTCCATTAATCGTAATCTTTTTTTTTTTTTTTTTTTTTTATATATTTGAAAACTTTTAAATTCATGGCTGTCATCATAAAGATTGGATAACATTCAGTATACACTGTTAACATGAGATTGATGACTAAAGACTTGTTCCACTAAATTTTGTCTTGCTTCTATCAAGTGCTGAGGAAGTTAAGCCTGAATTATATTGGTTTAGTTATTTATTATACTTAAAGCTGTAACCTGTATGTGCTTAACCCCTTCGAGCCGGGTAGCGAAAGCGCGCGCTAATTGCGGAGGCTGGCAGTGTCTTACGCGAGCGTCTCTCCAGGGTCGGGGGCTTTTTTGCTACTAAGCCTAAATCCATGAAATTTCCGAAGTATAAACGCATTGTTTAGTAATGCTCTATAGAGTATTTAAATGGCTTATGCTTTATAGATATTTATATATATATACTTTAATTACCTTATTCTTGTTTAAATGCATATTTTACACATTATATTTTAATTACTCACCATTTTATGACTTTTAACATTATACATCTGAAAACTAAATATATTACTTAAAATTCTCTTTTCGTATGAAAAATTTGAAAACAGGGATCTACACACAGTCCTACGTTACATTCCTTGCGTAATAACTCATTTGCCGTTTTGGAGGATTTTTCCGGGAATGTGAACAAATGAAGCATCATCGTCTCATTTTCTTATCAGTCTCTTCTGAACAAAGTTTTGGAAAACGTCTTTCAGTTAATCTTTCAGAATCAATATCAGAATATCAGAATTTCAGAATCAATATCTAAAATATTTTGCATCATTTCTGCTATTTCATGCTCTGTTAAACATTTTCGACGCTTTGACATTGCAACAGTAAAAACAGAAAGAATTCACGTCTAACAAGATCTAATTATTTTCTAAAAACTGAACTGTAAACTGAAATAATCAACGCTTTAGCGCATATAAATCTTCTACTTACAATAAACAACTACCACGTGCGAATAAAGTGCGATTTAAAGAGACGTCATAAATCACGCCATTCGGAAACATTTAGTTCCCCTTTTGTTTATATAATCAAAAACACGTGTATGTGAGTCATGCTTCTCTCATTTCGAGTAGAAGGTCTAATGTACATGTATCTGAAACCATATGGACATACAGTGCCATCTTGTGGCAGAAATTATAGTTTCTAAAACGTTCCAGGATACTGGCACAAATACGTGACAGTCGGTAGTAAACGGGAAAATGCTCTGGCACGCCTGCTTGTCGGCCGGGAGGTGAGTGTGTTCGTTGCTGGCACGTAGACGTGACAGTCGACGCGAAGGGGTTAAAGCTTATGCGAGTTCTGAAAAAAAAAAAAAATAATAAATGCTCTCATATATAGTACAAAGTTTGAGATCCAGACTTATTTATTATACTTACATTTATTCCTTGCACATGCCTAAGGCTTATCCGAGTCCTGAATAAATAAATTTTCACATATACTTAAGGCTTTCTGTGGATTCCAAATTCTTGTTACCAAGCACCTCTATTTGTCTTCCCTTAATTCTGCTGCTCAGTGCATCCATACAAGCTCTGGCGCCAGTTCTGGGTTTATGTGAAAAACAAGTCTTAATTTAAACAGTCAAAATTTATTTTTAACATGTGTAAAGAAATTGTTAAATTTTTCCTGTCAACATTTCTTATCGCATTAAACTTAAATTTGTAATCATCTCCAAGCGTAATATCAACATAAAAGGTTTCCATTTGTTATTCAATTACTAATATAAAAAATTTGTTTAGGCATCGCTTCATGAGTTGTCATGTGTTGATAAACATGCTGTGCTGAAAGCAAAATATAATAATGATTCGCCAGGTTGGCGTAACGATGTATCTATATAGAATGTTTCGGTTTGAGATGAATGCCAAGCAAATATGCAGCTACGGAGCCAAATAATTGATCATACAAATTTATGCTAAAATGATTGTTTCTTCAGTAACGAGGTATTTTATTTAGTGCTGAAGTGAAATTAAGAATCAGGACTCTTCACATGCACGTGGGAAATGAAATGCGCATGCGTAAAGCACACACAAAAATAAATAAATTTAAAAAAAAGTTGGGGATGACTTTGAGGTCCGGATTTTAGGTCATTCCAGATATTGGACATCCGGATCTGAAACTTTGTACTGTATCTAATTCTTAACTGAATAAGCGAATCAGTTATTCTTATTTCAGGCAGTGGTAAATGCAATCTTTTGACCTAGAAATGCCATTTGCAAAACTTATTTTTTGCATATGGGAGGCATTTTTGCATTCTTTAAAATTTTTTCTCATCAACACATCTAACACTTTGCTACACAGTTAACTAAAGACAGTAATCATTACGAAGCATAAAGTCAGTGTAAAAACTTACTTTGCTGTTTGGTATTCAGTTACTAATATTTAAAAATTACGTTTTGGACATCTCTGTGTGAGTCATTTCTCAGTCTGCCATGAATTGACAGTCATGTTGCGATGTAAGTAAAAAATGATTCGGCAGTTTCGGTCAGGGATTTATGCTATTCATTAGGTGTTAAGTCACTTATGAATTTTAGTAGAGTATTTCAGTTTGAGATGTATGGCAAGCAAAAAATGGCTACCTTTTTGCTTAGCTAAAGTACTGATCATACAGAATTACATGCTAATAAATGACTGTGTTTCTTCACCATGGAGTTGCCATTTTTAGTGATGTGAAATTAAAAATTTTTCCATATCCTTTATTACAAAAAAAAAAAAAAAAAAAAAAAAAAAGGGTCAATGTTGTATATGTGAAGTATAATGGGTGAATCTTTACATTATGGTAACTTGGCAAAAATTTGGCGACCAACCCTGCTACGATAACCTGCTAGTTTTGTTTTGGACACCATTTTGTTTTCATGAAGTAAAAGCATGTTTTTTTTTTTTTTTTTTTTTTGTTTTACTCAACATTTTTTCCAACAATCTGCTAGCCGAATTACGCTTATACTAGAACTTTTATGGAACAAAAGGGCTTAATCATGACGAGATTAGGTGCGAAATTGGGAGAAAGAAGTGCAGAATCGCCCAAACTGCTTGCCGCGTTTTTAAGCATTGCGCATACACGGTATCCATGTACACGTCGACCTATTTTCACTTAAAAAAAAATCCCGAATTGCACAAAGAATGGCAATTGGCGCAAAAATGGCGCATACTCTTGACTTTATCCTATGACTTTACACATCGACCTATTTTCACTTAAAAAGTCAAAGAAAATTGACAAAAATCCAATTCTTACTCTTGTAAAAAGCGGCAAACAAATAAGTGGGCGATTCTGCACTTTAGCCGCGAAATTGTTTCTAAGTACTTATTAGCTAAAATCACGATCGGAATTTTCCGGAAAATGTCACATTACATGTCTCATGATCTCTCATTTCTCTGAGACAAAATAATCTGCGATTCAAACTGTGTACTTCTCAGATTATTGCTAAAGTCCTAGCTAGTAACCTTTACTGCTTACCAAAATGTCGCCAAACTACCTGTTACCATATTCTAAAGATTAGCCGTATAATGCATTTGCTAAAGCCGGATGCTACTCCCAGAATCTAATTCTGTATCTTTTTCCACGAAAAATTTTCTCTCCCCGAAAAGTTTTAGTGGTCTGGATATTGGTTGTCTGAATTTCAGACTTTTAACTATACATCTATATTTTTTTAAAAACTTTTTGTCTTAATACTTAGCAGCTATATCATGCCAGAGTTTAATTTGCAGTATATCAGTTTGTATATGGTAATGAGTTTGTTCAGTGAAACTTAAACCTGATGCAAGAAAGCAATTTCCTTTGTTTATTGTATCTGCACTGTTATAGCATGTGGTATTTTTCATTTCAATCATACAGTGTATAGCATTTCAAGATATCAACTTTTGTAATGCTATGGTAATCAAGTAAGATTCAGCAGTATTAATTATTAGGCACTCAGCTTAAGATTTTTAGGCTTAAGACCTCTGTAACTGCATTCCCTTGCACAGAAACCAAAAGTATTCCTAAGAGAGGATGCCTGAAGCATCATCTAGCTTCTGGAAACATCAATTTATAACATCACTTCTCATAGAATTGGTGTGGTTGTTAAGTGATAATTGCATTTGGCCAATAATGGATGCTGTTGCCTTGGGGCTACATGGGATTGTTTTCTAAAGCCGTTATCACATTAGCTGTTTGTTGCCGGGACAAAACGTTTGTAGCAACAGTTCTGAGAAACGGCCTTTGGTGAAATAGGGTTACCATCTTCACTTGGCAAACAGGCTGAAAGCCAAAGAAGAATCAGTTATCGCTCAGATTGGCGAAAGTGACGTTTCCTTTCAAGTGACATTTGCTTCTTCGTGTTGTTTTGTATCACTCACACGCTTTTCGTTTTAAACTTTATTGTTAGTAATGGAAGATAATAGAAAGGTGATTGCTATCAAGTTAATCACTTTGATCTCCACTCTGGCACTTCATGTAACAGATAAACCACTTCTGGTTATAGCAGTCAATTACATCAGTAATAGCCAAAATTCTGTATACACTAAGAATAGTTTAAAAACATGTGCTGGATAAGTCTATTTATCAGACATCGCTTATGTGTACTTTCTGTTGTCTGCATTTCATGAAAATTTGATGGCTCACTGGAAAATTTGTGACCTGGTGAAAGCATTTTCTGACTAACTTTATGGCTCATAATTACTGTTCTGTCCATTCAAATGACAAAAAATCTATATGGCTGATATTTACCTCCTCACAGCCAGCAGATACTATTCAGCAAAATGAAGATCAAATAAAGCATATGAATACATGAGCAATCAAAACATGTGCGAGTTGTTTACTGTCCATAGAACACTCGGCAATATACCAAAACACATTAAATATACCAACTCTAGAATTAGGTGTTCACATCATGAGTTTGTTTTATGGTTTTGGTTTATTGAGATTACAGCAAAGCACATTAGGGCTATCTGCCTAAGGGAAAGGATGGCCTTCGGGAGGACTTTCTAAGGGAAACTGGCTCGTATACACGTTACACATGGGGAAAACCACGAAAGCGTCCATGCAAGCCAGCCCGTTCGCGGGATTCAAACCTCGGACCGAACTACCAGGTTCAGCGACTTTACCGCTCGGCCGCTGGTGGGCTCAGTTGGTTTTATTGATTACGCAAAGTCTCGAGGGATAACAACAGGAGGGATCCCTTTGTAGAAGATTTTTTTAAAAACTGGCTCGCTTTTATACCAGTTACAATGGGGCAAACCAAGGAAACGTCATGTAGCCAGCCCGTTCGCGGCATTCTAAACCTGAGACAGAAACTACCAGTGTTCAACGACGCTTCGGCCACTAGTAGGCCCGTGCACTTAATTGGAAAGTGCAATTCATTATGTAAACAGACATGAAGGTGATAATCAGTCGTGCAGTGTTTTTAAGTAATCAAATGTTATAAATGCACAGCTGTTACATTTCTATTATTTTATTAGTCATGTTTTTATTACGTAGATCATACGTATGATATAATTATGAATTTAAACCCAATAACAAAATGTGTACACTCTTTAGTACTCAAATACTCATCAATTATTTTTTCAACTGACTATTACATACCCATAATAATTAGCAAAGAACTGAATAAATATAGTTGCTGCCAATTACATAATCGTTATCTGAATTAAAAGTAATTCAATAAACTTCTTGGCAATGTTCATTTTTGTATTCATACATACATATATATATATATACACATCTAATAAGTCATATTTACATACAGATAGAGAGATGCAATGTTTTAGAAGTTGTTAATATATTTATTAGTTTTAATGTAATGAATAAGATTTATTAATGAATGTATATACAAATGTTTTTCATCATGCATAATAATAAATCCATAAATTTTCAATGTTTCAATATGTAGCATTTACAATAAAAAGTATAGTTTCTAATGTATTTATAATCCAAAAAGTATTTCATTATAACATGAAAATAATAGACAAATTTAATGAGTATTCTCATTATTACATAAGCTATGCTTTTCTTTTTTATGCATCTTTTATGCTGTTTTTTTAAAATGTGTCACTGATTATGCAATTAACAATTTAAAAGATAAGTAATTAGGAGAAAAGCGCGCCATATACAAACGGAGTTTAAAAAAATATTCAACTTAAATTTAAGAAATAAAATTCTATTATATAACAGTGTTATATACACGATCAGCACGAAAATACGAAAATTTGGCGAACTTTTGGCTACAAACAATTTGTAAACAAATCCGAAATGCAAGAACGTCGTAAAATACTGTCAACTCCGAAATTTCCACGCCTTATAATTTAATGAATATATACACATTTAAAAAAATGACTCAGGCAGTTGTATTAAACAAAACAGCAATAATTAAATCAGCCTCTATTTCCCACCGTCCATCACTTCACAGTGAGAGCCATCGCCATATTGAAAAGTTACCCGTGATCCTTCAGAAGCTGACCTTTTGGTCTGATTGGGTTGAATGTTCGAGGAACACGTCTCAGCCGGAACATTTTGGGAAAAGTTTTTAAAATGTTGCTCGTAGCCGGGAACAGGTTTCCTCCTAGCTAGACAAACATTTCTCGGAAGCCTGCCGCTTAAAGCCGTGCTACTAGAATCTCGTTTCTCGGAATAGTCCCGGGTAAGCGCGCGCGTCTATAGATGTGATAACAGCCTAAATAACTGTCTCATTTGTTTGAAATTGTTTCCATGAATGAGAAACGACAGAATGCTCCCTCCCCCTCAAAAAAGAAATTGGCAGTTTTCTTAATGCTTTCTGTCAAACTCTTCAGCAACATTTTATTAGCAGCCTTATTTTGTAGCAATGAGATACTTGCAAACATATTTTTTGCATCATAATGGAGTTAATTAAATCCAAAAGGATTTTGTTTTTAGTGCTAATATTTTGCAAAAAGTTTTGAACACTAAAATTCTTGATCTAAACAAGTTACATTCATCACACATATAATTGAATACAGTCAAAAGTCGTTAATTCGGACACCCATAATCCGGACCTCAAAGCTACAAACTTTCTGCGCATTTATGGCTGCATGTGCGTGTGCGCAAAATACGTTTACGAATGTGCGTTTAATGTATAATGGACGGTATAAGCTAAGCTAAAATTATCTAATTCAGTTAATGTTGCAGATTGCATTGTTCCTTAATCTTCGAATTGGATGCAGCTTATTATTTTTTGCAGAATGTTAGAGCAATTTTATAAAAGTAAGCTTGAACTTTCGATTATGTCAAATAGAATTTCCGATTAATATTTACTAATATGTAAAGGATCTACAAAGCGAAAGTATGTTTGAAGTCCATTAAACAAAAAGTGGAATTGCTGCAAAAAATGGATAAAGGCATAATCTTTTGTTTATCTTTAACGCCGAGGCACGCAATGAATTGGAAGTTGATCTGTCAGCACTATCCTTATCTTCAGGGCAGATGTTTTTATTTTATTTGGCTTATAATTCCTTACTAAATGTAGTATTTCATCTCGATGTACTCCATCTTTCATATGATTTAAATCAAATTCCTCGTCATTATAATTCACTTCCGATAGCGAAGAAAGTGACAGAGGTTATTGAAAACGAAAAAATTTTGATTGACAAATTAGTCAGTATTCTCGACACAGCAATTATAGGACTTGAACAGCGGAACTTTGTAACTGAATAAGAAATTATGTCTGTTTATAGAATTAAAGAGAATGTATTATCACATAAAAAACGAAGAAGCAACTTAAACAACTTACATTGAAAGAAATGTTTAATAAAGTAAACAAGTAAATATTAAGCTTTTTTTTTTTTGTAAATTTTGATACTCTTTAGATCATAATTGTTCTTTATTTCATAAATTACGGTTTCATATTTTTAATTTTATAATTCTGCATGCCATCTTACCAGATTTAAACTGATGATCTATAATCCAGAAAAATCGATAATCCGGAATCGCCGAAGTCTCGACGAGTCCGGATTAATGACTTTTGACTGTATTTTTTATGACTAGCTATGCTTAACTTTTTGGCAGCAATGCTATTTTTTATTTTGTATTCTTAAAAGTATTATTATACATATTATACTTCTAAGAATTCACAGTTATTTCTTAAATATAAGCATTTCCAGTGTATTAAATTGTGACTAAATGTAATTTTTTTTACTTAAAAAAATTTTTTTTAATAGTGTCTGTGAAAATTTCAAGATGTTACATAATGTAATATCCAAACTTTTGTATTTTTCATTTGTCTTACTTTATAATCTCAATTTTTTTATCAGAGTTTTCGTTTTGCTCATTTTATAATGAGAAAGACAAAAATCCTTTTAATGTTGCATTGAAAACTTGAAATTGTGTTTGGAATTTTAGTGACTGTAATTAACTGATAAGAACAATTCAAGTTAATTCATTCGAGTCAATTACTAAGGAAAATATGAGTAATTATGCAGTAGCAAAATACAGTAAGCTAATTCTGTAATATTTGATTATTATACTTCTTCAAATGTGATTCTATTTCAGAGGAAGAAACTACTAACAGGGTAAGATAATTAAATAAAAAAAAAAAATTCAGATCTGCTGTTATATTTATGATTTTACCAGGCTTAGTCATTTATCACGTTTATTATTATTACCAAGTCATTTATCACGTTTGTCTTTTTCACATATGTACTTTTTATTAACCATTGATTAAATTAATGTCAGTATTAAATGTTATTTAAATTTATTAAGCATTTGTTGTATGTATTTTCATAGATGATTGGTGATAGTCCACCAGAAGGAAGCAAAAAATCTGACAATTTTCTAACTGCTTCTCACTCCCAGGAGTCTGAATCATGAAACACTCCTTACCATCCATGTATGATACCTATATTTATTGAAACAGATGCTGTATTTTTTAATACTTAATATTGCTTCCATTCCAGCAACTTTACTCATATGTAAATAAATACATTATGCTTTTGGAATTCTTTTTTAAGTGTTTGGTTATTAGTTTCTTTTTTTAAATCAACTTATTTGTTTTATTAAATTGCATTACTTAGGCATGTGCCTTTTTATGTTTTACATTCTAATACTGGTACATATAGTCATGGACATTTTTTTTAGATCAGAATAGTCATATGTTCAGTAATCAAATAAGCTCACATTTTAGTTCATGTTCATTCATGTATTATGAAACTTGTGGTTCTCAAAGTGTTTTTGAAAGAATTTTAAATTTCTATCTCAGCTACGTTTTTTATTTGCAAACACGAGCAATGCGATTTTGCCTTGGAATGCAGGAGAGTTGAATGAATGCTTCCGCAGAACGGGAGTTTTTGTGTCACTAAGCCTAACTTTAGAAACTTTAAAAAAAACTTTAAAAAAAAGTTTTAAGTCATAACATTATAATTTTGGGTACTATTTTAGATTATTACTTAAGCTATCATATTAGCATTTTGTCATCTGTTTTCTTTACATGAAAATATATTTAAAAACCTGCTTACTTTAAAATAATTTTCGGATGAGCTATTCATATTATTCCAAACTTTTAACTGACAAAACACATTAATAAACTTCAAAATTAATTAACAAAAATACAAGAAAGACTGTTTAAATCTATTAACTTTCTTTTTCTTTGTATGTAAGGAAAAAAATAGCATAAAATTTGCCATGATGAATTTTATGAAAATGGAAATTTTATTTGTTTATGTCAAAAAAGGGGTGCAGTTCCCAGCCATTCATGGATTATTGAGTTTCTGTTGTGATTTTTTTTTATGCTCTTAGTAAAATTAAGCTTGCCAAAACGTTTTTTGTAGATTGGCTTTGGAAAGTTCTGCTTTTGTGCTAAGGCATTTTTTTTCACTGTTCTTTGTTTATGAAGCTGTAAATATTCAACCTACTAGCAATGTTTTATGAAACTTGGGGTTCTCAAAGTGGATAGTTTGTGAAAGAATTTTAGATTTCTATCTCAGCTATGTTTTTTATTTGCAAAAATGAGCAATGCCATCTTGCCTCAGGATGGAGGAGAGTTGAAGGAATGCTTCCACAGAACAGGAGCTTTTGCATCGCTAAGCCTAACTTTAGAAGGAAAAAAAAATCATTAAAAAAAGTTTTCAGTTACTATTTTAGATTATTACTTAAGCCATCATATTAGCATTTTGTCATCTTTTTTCTTTACATGAAAATGTATTTAAAAAAATGAGTACTTTAAAAATAATTTTCGGATGAGCTATTGAAATTATTCCAAACTTTTAACTGACAAAACACATTAATAAACTTCAAAATTAATTAACAAAAATACAAGAAACCCTGTTTACATCTATTAACTTTCTTTTCCTTTGTATGTAAGGGAAAAAAATAGCATAAAATTTGCTGTGATGAATTTTATTAAAATGGAAATTTTATTTGTTTATGTCAAAAAATGGGTCAAAAAATTTTATGCTGTTAGTAAAATTAAGCTTGCCAAAACGTTTTTTGTAGATTGGCTTTGGAAAATTCTGGTTTTATGCTAAGGCATTTTTTCACTGTTTCTTGTTCATGATTTAATCAGGCATTTAGTATAATAAAATTAATACTATAGAAAATATTGAATTATGCAAATTCAGGAAATGTTCATAGGTTTCTTTTTTATGTTAATTCCAACTCTCTCTTTCTTAAAAAATGGATTGATGAAAAAAATGATGTAAAGTTCATGGTCTTTTTTCTGCTATGATTCAGATTTTAATTTGAATAAAATTGAATATAAAATCATTTTTACGTAAGTTTCAGAATAGTTTAATATTTATTTCTTAGTCTCTTTTTATGTGAAACAATTCTTTTTTTATTTATGAGCAAATGCTATGCAATTAATATCCAGTTTTCTTTTATAAAGGCACTGCATTAGGGCTTTTTTACAGCATAAGAAAATGAGGTTTATGTTGTAAAAAGTCATTATTCTGTTCAACCTGTCAGTCATCATCTAAGCCAGTGCTCTGCAACCTTTTCTCACCTGCGACGCACAAAAAATCTTTCTGGAATTTCGTGGCACACCAAAGAGTTCCGAGTTGTCAAGGAAGTGCCGAAAAAATTCAAATGCTGACACACTTACAATCACACACACAACCACACAACAGTGAAATATATAAAAACATTTAAAACAGACATTATTAAGGAAAAAAAATTGTCATTGTGTATTAAATACATGATAAAAAATTGCAAAATGTCAAATACATGTGTTTGATTGTGGCACACCTATATCCTACTCATGGCACACCAGTGTGCCGAGGCACACCGGTTGCGGAGCACTGATCTAAGCAACATCATAAAGGCAGTTAAGGAAATATTGTTTAAAATAGTGCATTTGTGTCATCAAATGGAATAGCTTAAAATTCCTTTATTTAAATAGAACTTAAAATCACAGCATGTGTATAATGCAGTTATAAAGTATTTAATATAATTTACTTTGAGAAAAATGGTTAATAATAATTAAGTTGCTGTTGTGTATGTTGAAATTCTGCTGGCAGTATCTTTCTTTGAAGCTTCTTTTTTATTCTTTTATAAGGATGCTTCATTACTTTGACAATACTCTCAAAAAAATCGAAGACTGCGACCAAGGATATACCCAACCATATTCCAACATATCCTCCAAAGTAGAAGAACGTTTGTATAAACTGCAAAAAATAAATTGATTAAACTCATAATGGCTCAGTTTAGTGTTGGGTCATCTGATAAGTAATGCAGTTTTTTCTTATTAAGTAAAATGAAGAATTCTGTATTCAATGATTTTTGCATAATTGTACAATCTGTATAGTGTATTATTAGAATATACAAAGCATATTAGACAATTGTTTGTTTGCTCAAATATTTGATATAGATATATAAGAATAAAAAGATATGTATTTTACTGTAGATGTATTGGAAGAACATTTAACATATATTTTGCTGTAGGAATTTCACCTGGACAAAATGCTACAATATAAAGAAATGAACAAAGGGTCAGAGTGCCTTGAAAAATTTGATGATAAATAAACTTTATGCATTGATAGAGAAAAACCAAAACCAGTGCAACACATTTAATTACTTTATGACATTTAAAACTAGAAAAAATTAAGTAAGTGGGTTCAAGCTATTTGTTAGGTATAAGTCTGAGATAGCAAATGGAAATTTGATCTTTCATATAAAAAGGAGGCCATCAACCAAAGAAAATAAGGTACCTGCGTATTATCGCGACCACCTTAGTAGAATTTGGTAGAGTTTCAGAATACGTTAAACTCTGTTAACCACTCTCATATTAATTATTCGGGCTACCATGGCCCACATGGCAAATATTGTTTCCAACATCGCTATTTTCGTATGTGTTCTTTTTGCTGTATTATTAGTTCCAATGGCTTTTATAGAAATATGATTGTTTTTTGTCTTATACATGATTTAAAAATTCGTGCTTGTGTGGTTTTTGTATAATAAATGAGGCAGATGTGAAATTTATGTGGCAATACAGTATTTTGCTGCAAAATCGCTAAAGAATAATGTTTTGAATCTTTTCTAAAAGCGACTGCTGTGAAATTTCGACAACAGCAGAAAGAAAAACATGCTCGTAACTAGCATACTGCATGTTTTTTAGGTACTTACGAACTATGACGACTACCTAGATATCTCGCCAAAACTGGCGACCCTTGTAGGTTATACAGGTTAACCCTAATATAGTTTATAGAGGGCGCTAAAATAAAGAGTATTATCCCAAACTTGTCCTGCACTTGCTATTACCACACCTTTTTTTTGCTACATTTACGCGGATTATTACGTTTATATATAAAAATATAATATATGAACTTATTATTGAAGCTTAAAATATGTATGTAATATGCAATTTTTTTACAATAAAAGTAATTGTTCCTTTCTTCCATAAAATTCACCAAACTGTGCCAAGGTAGTTGTGATAATACTTAAGTACCGAAAGTAATTACTGTTGTATATTAAGTTATTTTTGACTTACAATTCGCAATCACATATTTGTTCTACACGAGGTAGTGCATTTGGCACAGGCACCCGGGTGTCTTAAACACCGTTTTACTGGAGGGACTGTTGTATATTTGTTTGAAATATAGAATGAATTACCTATTATGAATTTTTTTTCTAAAATTCTTACTAACACTAAAGATCTGTGTTATAAACAACTAGTGGTTTTGTTGAGCATTTGCTAACAGAAATGTTATGTTTTTCATGGCAACACACAATTATGCACAACACAAAAAGTACTGTGAAATAATTAAAGACGGTTTTGATGGAAAATTTATGATTCATCTTGCGTATTATTTTAATTTGACTTCATCAAATTATCAGGATTTTAGAAGTTCCATCTTAATGAGAAATTTCTTATACGTATATTTATTTATTTTTTGGACTGAAACGTAAGAACTTATATTAACAATTTTATTAATAATATATAATAAAATTTTAAATTAAGATTTGAATAAGTTGTAAATAATAATATTAAATATATTTAAATTAAAAGTTCTTTAACATTTAAAAAATAATTGAAAAAACTGCGTTTCTTATAATGATGACTCAATAAATTGATACATTTTTCACATTTTCATATTTTAGAAGAATAATTATGCTTTTTTTAAGAATTAAAATGGTTGTAGAATGAAATTTGCTAATAATTGCCTTCATAATCCCTTTCACCCATAGTTTTACTGGTTACAGTCACAGAAACTATAGATATAAGTCATGTACAAATTGAATTTTTAATTCAGTACCATCAATGTGTGTATTTATTTATAACTTATCTTGGTTATAAAATGATGATGGCATATAAGCGTGAATTAAATCATGAAGAATTTGTGTATATACAAATTTTTACACGTGAATTTACAGCAGTGTGTTACTTAATAATTTTAACCCCTTCGAGCTGGGTAGCGAAAACGCGCGCTTATCGCTGAGGCCGGCAGTGTCTTACGCGAGTGTCTCTCCAGGGCCGGGGGCTTTTTTGCTACTAAGCCTAAATCCATGAAATTTCAGAAGTATCAACACATTGTTTAATAATGCTCTATAGAGTATTTCAACGGCTTATGCTTTATAAATATTTTTATATATATACTTTAATTACCTTATTTCTTGTTTAAATGCATATTTTACACATTTTATTTTAATTACTCACCATTTTATGAATTTTAACATTATACATCTGAAAACTAAATATATTACTTAAAATTCTCTTTTCGTATGAAAAAATTGAAAACAGGGTCCTACGTTACATTCCTTGTACTCGTAATAACTCATTTGCCGTTTTGGAGGATTTTTCCGGGAATGTGAACAAATGAAGCATCATCGTCTAATTTTCTTATCAGTCTCTTCTGAACAAAGTTTTGGAAAATGTCTTTCAGTTAATTTTTCAGAATCAGTATCAGAATTTCAGAATCAATATCTGAAATATTTTGCATCATTTCTGCTATTTCATGCTCTGTTAAACATTTTCGACGCTTCGACATTGCAACGGTAAAAACAGAAAGAATTCACGTCTAACAAGATCTAATTATATTCTAAAAACTGAACTGTAAACCAAAATACTCAACGCTTTAGCGCATATAAATCTTCTACTTACAATAAACAACTACCACGTGCGAATAAAGTGCGATTTAAAGAGACGTCATAAATCACGCCATTCGAAAACATTTATTTCCCCGTTTGTTTATATAATCAAAAACACGTGTATGTGAGTCATGCTTCTCTCATTTCGAGTAGAAGGTCTAATTTACATGTATCTGAAACCATATGGACATACAGTGCCATCTTGTGGCAGAAATTATAGTTTGAAAAACGTTCCAGGATACTGGCACAAATACGTGACAGTCGGTAGAGAATGGAACAATCCTCTGGCACGCCTGCGTGTCGGCTGGTAGGTAAGTGCGTTCGTTGCTGGCACGTATACGTGACAGTCGGCGCGAAGGTTATAATAATACTTTATTAAAATTGTTGTACTGTTGTACTATAAATCAATATTGCATCACTATAAATACATAATAAAATTCCTCCTAATTTATATTCATAAAAATCTTCTGTACTAATATATGTAGATAATAAAACAGGCAATTAGTGAATAAATTCCTCCCACTATGGAAAAAATGAGCTAACTTAACTTGAATTTTGAGTTTTTTTTATTTATTTTATACACTGTTGAATTTAGTGATTTAAGAGCTTTGTCTTAAATCACTAAATTCAACAGTGTATAAAATAGTGTATAAAATTAATACTCTGCAAAGCGTAAGATATTTATTAATGTTTCCAATTTAATCAGAAATCTTAGTGTTATAAAATAAGTGCAGTGCCACTCACCAAAGCGTAGTTGTGTCTTTCGAATTTAAGTAAGCATTTTAAAATAAATGTGTTGCCACTGCACGAATTAAAATATTCAATATATAGTATATTTATTTTCAACGTGGCCGTGTGTTGTCATTCAGCAAATCATAAGCTATTTTTCTTTCGGATATATTCTGTTATTTTAATAACAAAGCTGGATTCATTAAAATCATTATACATATATTTCTTTTTTTTTTCTTTTTTTTTTCTTTTTTTTCTTTTCTTTTTCTTTTTTTTTTTTTTTATAATGACTACTTTAGGCAACTGACCACTCAAGGGCTAGTATTTCAAAATACAAATACACAAATTTTTACAATTTAATTTACAACGTGTTTTACTTTAATAATATTTTTATTAAAATATCACATTTTTGTTAAATTAATCAGTATTGCTTCAGGATAAAAATAAAATTCTTCTTAATTGTATTAAGTTAACAATTAAGAAGAATATAATTGTAATATTATATATTCTTCTTAATTGTTATATAGAATTATATAACAAATTATATTCTTAACATTATATATAACAATTAAGAAGAATATATACTATTATCTTCTTATTGTTATATATAATGTTAAGAATGATATAGTAATATTTATTATATACACTAATATATGTATATAATAAAATAGCATGTTAAAAGACAAAGATCATGATTAGGAATAAATTTTAGGCTTTCCATATAGCAGCAAAGGTACTGGTTACGCATTTTTTTGATAATGTTATAATTTTTAGTTTATTAATACATATTCAACTTTTAGCTCAGACATATGAATGTAAGCTTTAATAATGAAGGTAGTTTGAATTTGGACACGTAATAAGCATCAAATCAGAATTTTAATTAGTTTGTATTAATGCTTACCTCAAATTTTGGAGAGTATGTGAAAGTTGTTGTTTCAAACTTATCAAATGAAAGCTGCATATATATATATTTCTTCCTGAAATAGGAAAGACATTTATGAGAAATCTGAATGGATGTTTGTCGTATTAATTGCAAAAAATTTGATATGTGTGATAAAGGAGATGTTCTTTTACTTGTTTATGATAGCGGTTGGTAGAAATTTGGTAGAAACTTATTCTAAAATTTTTTCTAAGGTTTTTTCCCTTGCCTGATTATATGGCATACAGTCATAATTTAATGCAATAAATCCCCTTTGTTCGTAATATTTTTTGATTGTACTTCTTGGTGAAGACTGAGTTCTTTATAGTTTAATGACAAAACTTACCCTCTTATGACAGATCTACATAAGGATCTGTACCAACTCTGTCAGAAAATATTACAAGCAGCTCATTGCGATCGTCAGAAAATATTACAAGCAGCTCATTGCGATCTCCTTATGACAGATCGCAATGAGCTGCTTGTAGTATTTTCTGACAGAGTTGGCAATTATCTAATTAGGCCATTCTAGCTTTAAAATTGATTTAATTTCGTATAAGTTTTGGTTATTTCCAGTTTTTAAAAGTTCAATTAAAGGGATACATATTTTCTAGTGTTATTTGTGAGAGAAGTACTTGAAAGCATTCTGAAAAGTGAGTTTATGCTTGCTACCAGAATTGAGAACGCTGTCTAAATCAGTGTATCAATACGCAAAAGGAGTGCTTAAAAAGCGACTAATCCAATAAGATGGTTTGTGCTAATCAACCCAATAAACTTATTGCTTTTACTTTCTACTTTTGTAAGCTCCCACCAGGATGCAATTACTGAATATATTTAAATATAGATTTTGAGAAAGAGCTTTTTGGCAGTTATCTTTGGCTGATTAGCATATTGCAACTTCGTGCTATTTAAATGTTTTACCAGCTTTAGCTCTGCTAGCTGCAATAGTTTCATGAAACATTCGAGCCTGAGCTAATGCTCAGATAGTGCGTATTACTTAATACTTTTAACTTGACTGGAACATTTGGTCTGAATTTCTGCCAAGCTGTGGAAGTTGTGTTCTGTTGTATTTGTAAATTCTGTTTGTCTCAGCTGACGTCTTAATAAAAATGTTTGTTTAAAACCATCAACTGAGTTCATATTTACTGTACTTAAAAAAAAGATGGAGTGATAAGTCATCTGTTTATTTTATAGGTTATAACAGCTGATATTTAAAGTACTGTGGAACCATATGCAATTCCATGAGCATATTTTATATAAATGCATTCAGAAAATTAAGTTGATAAAGTGATAAATTGTAAGGTTGAAGGGTGTTATAGAACTGTCACTTATGTATGGTGGAAGTTAATCGAATTCATTTTAAAACTTTCTTAAAATATTTTTATATATCGTGAATTTTATCTTTATTGAACGAATAAAGTGGAATACCTACCATGTACGTCTGTTGGGAATACTCTTAAAAACCTGAAAAACATAATGATTGATTATTTGAAATAATAGATGCTATTAATTATATAACATATGAATAAAACCAAATAAAATTAAATGCTTCATGTCAACGAAAATTCATATGAAAATCAGTAAATTTTGATTCCGATGAAAGAAACGAATCAAATTTATTTTGACATCAAGATATTTACGAGGCGTATTCGGAAACTAAGTACCGTTTTGGGAAAAAAAAAAAAAAAAAAAAAAAAAAAAAAAGTAAAACAATATTTTCAAATCCAATTTTATTTTTACATGAAAATACATGTCTTAAACTATTTTTCAACATAGTTTCCGCCAATGATAAAACACTTGTCATAGCGGGTGACCAGTTTTTGTATACCATCGTCAAAGAAACTTCCCGCCAGTTTCGATAACCACCACTCCACAGCATTTTTCGTGTCATCGTCAGATCCAAAGCGCTTGCCACCAAGCTTGCGCTTCATGTGCAGGAACAAGTGATAATCGGACGGCGCCAAGTCCGGGCTGTATGGCGGGTGATCAAACTGCTTCCAATGAAACTGTCGAATTAACGATTGAGTGACACCAGCAGTATGGGGCCGAGCATTGTCACGGAGCAACACAATTCCTTTACTGAGCATTCCTCTTCGTTTGTTTTGAATGGCACGCCTTAGTTTTGTTAAAGTCTCACAATATCGTGCTGCATTAATGGTTTCACCTCTGGGAAGAAATTCAGTAAGCAAAACGCCTTTCCTATCCCAGAAGACGGTGCACATGATTTTTTGTGATGTCATTGTCACTTTGAACCTTTGTTTTTTTGGAGAATGAGTGTGTCTCCACTCCATCGATTGTTGTTTCGATTCTGGTGTGAAATGACACACACAAGTTTCATCACCTGTCACAATTTGATTTAAAAAGTTTTCTCCCTCATCACTGTACCGCGTGAGAAATGTCCGGGCACTACCAAGTCGCTTTGTTTTGTGAACATCAGTGAGCATTTTTGGAGCCCATCAGGAACACAGTTTGCGATAATTCAAGCGGTCAGACACAATTTCGAACAAAACAGTACGTGAAATTTGTGGAATGCCTCTGAAAGAGTTGTCATTGTGAAGCGTCTGTTCTCATGAATTGTTTCATCAACTTTCCTTACCAAATCATCGGTGACAACAAAAGGCCGACCACTCCGAGCCTCGGCGTGGACATTTGTTCGACCTGCATTAAACATTCTTACCCACTTTCTCACCATTTCATCACTTATCGCGTATTCACCGTAAACTTCTGTCACTTGACGATAAATTTCGGCCGGTTTAACATTCCTCGCATTCAAAAATTTAATCACGGCACGAATCTCACAGTCAGCGGGAGAACTAATTGTCTTAAACATTTTGAATGTGCACAGCAAACTGAAAACACAGCATAGAGGAACCAAAATGGCGACAATTGAAAGTCCTACGTAAATACACAGACTAGAGTTTGGTTTAAAGCACAATTTACAGACTGTAAATGTTATTGAACAGTTTTTATACAGCTACCAACCAAACCATTTCAAGTGTTGTTATGCTGTTATTTTAGGATGTGCTTTTGCTATTTGGTAATTTTTACTTTCTATTTTCAACAATCTTGTTTGGAATCTGATATCTGTCAATTCTCTTAAAATGTGTATTTGGGTGCGTAATTATTTCTCCGATTGAAATTATAAATGATGGATTGTATTCATGTTCGGAATAATCTGGAACCACAGAATTCTTTATTTTTTAGAATGCTTCCTTAATCTTTGTAGTAAATGAAGAAAACTTGAGAGAAACCAGCATTGAAAGGATCTTGTTAAAAGAAAACATCAGTGAAAGCATATTGTTGAATGAAACCATCACTGAAAATAAGTACAGCCTCCATAAAGATATGTACTTGGTCGAGGACATTGGTTCAAATATGTGTGAGCGGTGAGATTTTATTTTACGGGAATACACACGAGTTCATTGTTCTACAGACGTGAATAACAACAACAAAGGATTCGAGTAAAAATTAGTTCCTTTCAGCTGTTCATAGTCCAATTTCGATCTTACGTGCCCATTGCAAGCATCTATGGCGACGAACGCTTTGAGAATGCAGGCTGCTGTTGACATGTGTTCGCATACCTAATTCCAGCACTGATAGCTAGAAGCTCTTCTTGGTATACCAAGTTGTTCAAGCCTAGTTTCCTTTTCCACTCAAATGTTACAGTACCATTTTCCAGTCTACAGAAGGCGCTGCCCGTGCTGTATTCCGTTTTGGAGCGATCTGTAAAAAGGTTATTACTGGTGCTTTGAATTGGTTGGTCGTTTGCGCTGATATCATCGGAGAGATTAAAAGCAGTTGGATGAAAGTTATTGCAGATGTTTTGCTCCTTGTAAACCAAGTGGAGCTAACTATGACACCAGAGTGTTGATGTTTGACCCAGCCAGGTAACCTTTACGACAGCTGCCTCCTTTTCAACTATCAAATGTAGGGAAGGAATTCATGCCAGTTGTTGTAGTGATATTGTTGACCTGGTGCGGTAGGTTCTGTATACTTAAAGAGGTAGAAGTTCGAAGGAGCGATGTCAGGCCCATATGGTGGGTGTGACAAAAGATCGATTCGAGTCCGTACAGATTCCAGCCAGTGAACGCAGACACATGTAGTCTTGCATTGTCTTGATGGGACATTACCTTTTTGCTCCGGAACTCCGGAACTCATTTCGATATTTTTCCTTGATAGCAGCGTCAACGCGGACTAGCATCTTGCTGTACACCTTATTTTCAAGGATTTTACTTTTTTCCAGATACTCTTTGTGGATAATACCATGGCAATCCCACCAGATACAAATCATATCTTTTTGTTGGTCAAATTGCGCTTTGCGACGCTGACGAGGGGTTCACCGGGCGCAGACTAACCCCCCGTTTCAGCCTGTGTTGTTGATGTAAATCCACTCTTCATCACAAGCAACGATATGGTCCAGAAATTGGTCCTTGCGCTGATTTTCGAGCAGAGAGCAGATTAGTACAGGCCCGAACACGTCTGCCCTTATCTGCTTGAGTCAACTCATGTGGCACTCAGCAATTGAACTTATACGTCAAATTTATGCGATACATGGACATGGCACTAATGTCTAACTCTTTAGCAAGCTCTCGAGTGGTTGCCTACTGATCTTCAACACATTCTCGCAGGCATGCCTGATCAACATCAGTAGGCCGGCCAAAGAGCTCTGCTTCTTGAATGTTATAGTTCTTGTTTTTGAACTTTTGGTACCAAACCTTCATAGTGTCATATGATACATAATTAGTTCCTAAAGCTGTATACATGATTTGCGTAGCTGATTTTTTCCGACAGAACCGGAAGTATTAAATGATGGTTCTAATCTGGTAGTATGATAGTTCCATTTCAGACACCTTGATGGTAATTGTATATTTTCATGAATTTCACAACACAGTATTCTTAAAATAACTCATTTTCTTTCAAATGCCAAAAATAGTTTGAAAAATATGATTAAACACGTCAACGCGAACTGTTTGTGCAGACAATATTTGCGGTAGCGGGAAAATTTTGTTAAAACCCGATATTTATACACAAATTTAGCATATGGCAGTCTTTGGCTATAGGTACATAAATTTGCATAATGCAGAGATTGTTTTAATGTTTTGGATGATCTTTGTAGTTTTATAATGTAATTAAGTGTAATACTGTTTCAAAAATATACATTTTTAAAATTAGTATCTTAATGTTAAAAACTAAAAAATCTCACTTCTTCGGGAACTTGAATTTCTTCTTTTGTCACATCATACATTTTTTGACTGAAATATAAATGAAGCACATATTTCATTTATTATATTACTGCAATGTAAAAAAGTATGTAAAAGTTTTGTATCTCCGAAAAGTAATTGAAGTGTATCCCAGTTATTGTGCAGATATCTTAATATGCAATTAAAATTGCAAATTAAATTACAAATAATTGAGGAACAAAGTTACAAAACAGCTTGAACAAAAACAGAATTGAATTAAGTTCTCGAGAGTGAACAGTGAACGAAACCACACGCTTCTCTCGGCATGTCAGATTTTCATATTAATAATAATTATTATTAATAATTTCATATTAATTAAATTTGTGGAAGAATTTTTCTTTTGTAATTTACTTCAAGCAGACCTAAATTTCGTGATTTACTTTATTAAAAATTAGCCTTTATTTAAGGAACAATAGTTTAATTTTAGATTCTCTAGCATTACACTAAACCTTGAAAAAGAATGTTTTATAAAATTTTACATCACTAAATGAAACGTAAAAAATTTATTCTTCATAAAACAATTCTAATTTTTGTTTTCTGTTTTAATTGAAATTGATGACTTGATAATTTTTTTAACATTAGAACAAATAGTAGGAACACCACTAAGGTTGCACACACAGTATTCTTAAAATATTGACGAATAATAATATGTTTGTTCTTTCTGAAGTTGCCGATTGGTTTTTAAATAGCGCTTTACTTTAGATATACGTCTGAAAAGAACTAGTGCATGAAGAAATGAAAGTATGATAGACTCTTAGTAGTGTAAAATAACTGGCTAATAAAATTAGTCTTACAACATTTCGCCCAGCGGAGATGTGTGAAAACAGGAAAGAGCACTTGTAAAGTATTTTCTCCCTTCATTTTCTGCATGTCTCCGGGGTGTTACGGTAACACACTCGGCGCGTATTCGAGAGATCCAGGTTCGAGTTCTGGAGAGGGCACTGCTCATTTCTCATGTCTCCGTCTTAAAAAATAATAACCTAATTTTTCCACATTCGCGTCCGAACTAAAAAGGCGATGAATGATGTTTCTGCACCACCAGGATTTGGCACCCTAATCCCTAGGCGCCCTTCAAAAGGGGGAGTATATAAGATATTTTATTCCTCCTTTCTGCATACCTTCGTGGTGTAACGGTAGCACACTCGGCACGCATTCGAGAGGTCCAGGTTCGAATCCCGCAGAGGGCATTGCTCATTTTTCATGTTTTCTGCTTCAAAATAACCTAATGACTCTACAGCCTATTTATACGCACCTCAGAGCCATATTTTCTTAAAACGTATGCAGTCCCACGAATTATTATGTCAAGCGTTACGAAACTAAAAAATAATATTCGCGAAGGAGTGTTTCGCGGATTTGAGATTGTCTTTCGTCACTACTTTTCCAGCCAAATGAGTCGATAACACGAGTGTGAGTCATAGATAATGCAGTTTTATGCAACAGACAGTTCTTCATAATAGCTAATAATGAAAAACTCCTATTGCACCTCCAGGTGCGGATATCTGTTGGGAGCTGTAATTAATTCTAGCTGTCGGCACAGAGAGGGCACTAGCGCATCACACATATTTCAGCGACACGAGATGTAATAGGGGGACCGGAAAGTAATGCCGTTTCTGCGCATGTCGACAACAACATGCTAAGGCCAGAAGTGGAAGCAAATCCATGTCAAACACTCTTAACCAACCTTGGTCGACCATTCAAGAACATTTAAAGCAGAATGGAAAAATAAGCAAAGCAGGTGTTTGAGTCCCCCATAATCTGTCCGAAAAGAACAAAGCCAACCTATCCATCCCATGCAACGGATTCAACGGCACCATACAGAACCGTTTTTTGATCGCTTGATTAGTGGAGACAAAAAAAAAAAAAAAAAAAAAAAAAAAAATAAGTCCTATATGATAATCCAAAACTCAAAAGGCAGTTTTAATAGGGGTTACAAAGGGTTTACATCCCGAAAAGGCGCTTCTGGGTGTTTGGTGGAGTATTCGCGGAATTTTTCATTTTGAATTGCTGAAATCTGGAAAAACTGTTAATGTAGACCTTTATTCTGAACAATTGGATCTAGTGAACCAATCTTTAATTGGAAAAATATCCGGCGATTGTCAACGGAAAAGGCGTCATTCTGCAACACAACAATGCAAGACCGTACTGTGCAAGACGAACACTGGAAAAAAATAATGAATTGGGGTGGGAGGTACTGCCTACTCACCACCATATTCGCCCGATATTGCGCACCCTCGGATTTCCATTTATTCCAATCCCTACAACATTTTCTTAGTAACAAAAAATTTCAAAATTTTGGATGATGTCCAAAATGCCATCTTGAGATATTTTACTCAAAAACCAATTGATTTTTATTGATCTGGGATTGAAATCTGCATACTAGATGGCAAAAGGTTGTGATAACGAGGGTGATTATATTATTGATTAAAAATAAAAACGTGCTAAAAATGTATTCGTTTGAATTTAATGTAAGAAAGCGACATTACTTTCGGTTCCCCTAATATTTAACAGCAGAAGCATTAGGTTCTGTGTGTGACTGCATTGAAAAGAACATACCTGTAAGAAATCTGCTGCGGAAAATCATCATTTATTAGTGGAAGCATATGGGGAACATGCTGTGTCGAAAAAAAAACGTGCAGGGTTTCGACGATTCAAAAACAGCTTTTGAGGTAAGTGAGAAAATGCTTGACGATGGAAAAGCTTGACGTTGGATGGTTGGCAGAAAATTCATCTCAGACACTTGTTGTCTGAAACACTAAATGAGGATGCGCCAACTGTTAGTTAGCCTTTAAAAGCAATGGGGATGATTCAAAAATTGGAAAACTGCGTACCACATGAATTGATAGAAAAAGATGTTGCAAAACGGTTGACCATTTGTGAAATATTACTTCAGGGACGAAAGCGGAAGTCATTTTTGCATGTTAACGTGGATGCGTCGCAGCGAACCATCAACATCAAAATCGGATATTCGTGGCAAGAAGATTATGTTGGGCATCTGGTAGGATCAAGTTAGTGTGGTGTTCTATGAGCTTCTGTAGTCTGGTCAAACTGTGAATGCCGAACGCTACCGTGGCCTTCGAGATAAAGGCCACGACGCTACAAGGCATTATTACTCAGTTTGAATCTCGTACTAAGAGCATACGCCCGCAATATGCTCAGATACATGACGTTTCATTCAAAGAAGTGTATGGATATCAGCTAAAATGCTTTTATTGTATATGAAACTAGTCTTTTCTTTCATATCCTGCCTCCAAAATGCGTAGCCTCTGTTGAGGAACGCCTATAGAGCGCGCTGTACCCTGTCTGTTTCTTCAGTGTAGGATGTGAAATTGTACTAATGAGATGTGTTTAACTATGAGTAAGAATGTTTGTAAGGGAGTCGCCGGCTCTAATAATTAACAGCACAATTAATAATACATTATTTCAGCAACGTTGTAAATAAATCTGTTATTGTTGTGTTTTAAACTGAGCCTTTCATCGCCTGTTACATACAAACTGAACGACCTAGATAGTTACAAGTTTTGGATTAGTAAAAATGCCACAGCCTCTAAAGACGTAAATAAAATATAAATAAAATATAAATGTAAATACGACGTAATAAAAGTATATTACTAGCAAGCTGGTTGACATTGTTCCGAACATCGCTTTGCAAATTTTAGTAGACTCTTGCTGATGTTGTCTATATCTTTATCTGCAATGAAACGAGAAAGAAACTGACTTGCCATACTGAGTAAAACATTGATACATTTGCTTATTATACTTATTTCTTGTTCCTTAATAAACAAAAATTAAAACTAGACTATTTTTCCGTAATACACTGCTGGCCACCGTAAATGCAACACCCTGAAGGAAGCATGCAAATAACATGAAATTTTCAACATGCATTAGCGGAGGTGAGATATGCAAATGAATAGAATTTCAGCGCAGACGCACACGCACATTGCGCGCGCCTGTGGCGCCACTTCAAAGCGCTATTTAAGGCTTGGAGTTTTCGACGATTTCAAGTTTGGCAATTGTGTTTTTCTTGTGGTTTTTTTTTAAAAAGCGATCAATTATGCCTTTAGTAAACAGCGATCATCGTTTGATCAAGTATCCGAGTTTGACAGAGGAAGGATAGTGGCCTACCGAGAGTGTGGATTATCTTTCAGGGAAATCGGTAGTCGTGTTGGACGAAACCAAACAACTTTAATGCGGATATGTGATCCTTGGATGCAGGAGGGTACGACGGATCGACGTGTTCGATCGCATCTACTTCAGTGCGCCACTTCACGTGATAACAGGAACATTGTGAGCATGGCAGTGACGGATCGGTCAGTCACATCACGAACCATAGCACAGCACATTCAGTCTGTAACGCATCATCCAGTGTCTGCGCGTACCATTCGACGCCGTTTACAGCAGAGTGGTCTGTTCGCAAGACGTCCATTGCTTCGTCTACCCTCGACGCAAAACGTGATAAGCAGTAAACAGCGATCATCGTTTGATCAAGTATCCGAGTTTGACAGAGGAAGGATAGTGGCCTACCGAGAGTGTGGATTATCTTTCAGGGAAATCGGTAGTCGTGTTGGACGAAACCAAACAACTTTAATGCGGATATGTGATCCTTTGATGCAGGAGGGTACGACGGATCGACGTGTTCGATCGCATCCACTTCAGTGCACCACTTCACGTGATAACAGAAACATTGTGCGCATGGCAGTGACGGATCGCTCAGTCACATCACGAACCATAGCACAGCACATTCAGTCTGTAACGCATCATCCAGTGTCTGCGCGTACCATTCGACGCCGTTTACAGCAGAGTGATCTGTTCGCAAGACGTCCCTTGCTTCGTCTACCCTTGACGCAGAACCACAGACGTCTTCGCCGCCAATGGTGCGATGAAAGAAGGATGTGGACGGCAGAATGGAATGAAATTGTCTTTACTGAGGAGTCACGCTTCTGTCTGCAACACCACGATGGTCGGATTCGAGTCTAGAGACACCGGGGAGAGAGGATGCTGAACAGCTACGTTATGCACCGCCACACTAGTCCTGAACCGGGTATTATGGTATGGGGTGGTATTGGATATCATTCTCGCACTCCTCTAGTACCCATTGTCGGTACTTTAAACAGTCAGTGCTACATCTCCGAGGTGTTGGAGCCAATTGTCCTTCCTTACCTTCAGGGCTTGCCCACAGCCATATTTCAACAGGATAATGCGCGACCACACGTTGCACGCATTGTCCAAGGGTTCTTCGTCAATCGCCAGATTGAATTGCTTCCTACTCGCTCTTCGGATCTTTTGCCAATAGAAAACATGTGGTCCATGGTTGCTGAACGATTGACCTAGATTACATTCCAAGCCGCTACACCAGATCAACTTTGGCAACGTGTGGAAGCTGCTTGGTCTGTTGTACCCCAAGAGCACATCCAAAGTCTCTTTGAATCAATGCCGAGGCGTGTGGCAGCGGTGATCTCCAACAATGGCGGCTACTCTGGCTACTGATTCTGAAAGGAACCACACTTAACAGAAGTCTATAAATTTAATCATTTGATACTTGGTCAACATGTCATTTACTAAAAAATTTGTTGCGATATCTGTCTTTCTTGGTGTTGCAATTTGGGTAGCCAGCAGTGTACATAAAACACTTCACGTTAGCCTACATGGACGGGGAAGAGTTCATGCTACTTTCAATTTTATGTGTTATGATTATAGTATTCATACGAATTTTGTACATATAAATAATTTACGAAAACTATACGTAAAATTATAATATCTTTTGTAGAACGAATCATGAAAATTTGAAGAGACGAAAAAAATAAGAATACACGAGCAAGTGTGTTTAATATTGAGTAAATGGCTAACTCACTCAGTTGGCGAAATTTCGCCAAACTGGCGATCGTTTTGGCGACTGATCTTGTCGCCAAATTCGGTGAGAATTTGCCCAAAGTAGCCAAATTTGGCGACCGTTGGATGACATTTTGTTCCAGTTCGTGTATAGCTGTCATCGATATTGTGAATGAATAAATGTAATTAAACTATATATGTAACTGTAATTGTATCCGGCCCTTATGTCTTCCAGAAATTTGGAGAAGTGGAAAGCACTAGAGATGTCTCGGCGGCCGAAGAAAAACTGTATAAGACTGGAGAGGACATTAGTTTTTGAGTTGTTTAGTTCAACAGGAGTTCGGATGATCTCCGTGTTAGCTTCGCTCTTTAGATGCGCTTTGCATCGCGTTGTGTTTAATATTCTTAGTAATTTACAGTGTAACTACTGATTATACTCTGTGGCACTGTGAAGAGCTGTACAAGTATTTTTGTGGAAAGTTTCAGATCTGTGAAGTGTTTCTTTGTTAAAATATATTTTATCAAACTATCATCGGTTCGATGTGCATTCATCCTACTACGAACCTTCAGCAACAGTATTATTAATGATATTAATGATTATAAATGATATTAATCTTGTTACAAAAGTATAGGGGTTAGATGAAAACATGGAAAAAAAAAAAAAAAACATCTTTATTAAACTGATGGTGATGATGACTAAAGATGAACACTACATTTTTCTATTTACAACCTCTTTGAATTCTTCTGGGATCGGCAACTGTAAGCCTCTGATGGTGAACGCCTAGCTCGAACGAACTTTATCACGGGGGCTTTAGAATAGAGTGGGCTGGCGACTGTGGAGATTAATGAAGATTAGAAACCTTATCAGCATTCTCAGAAAATTATGACTGCGCGATATGAGATTCATGATTTGGTGTCTTATCCTTTTAATCAATCCCATCCCTGTAAGTAACAATATTTGCGCCACAGGTTGTGCTTGATCGCTAAGAAAGCTTATGTAGTCTGGGCAGGTATGTGACCCTGCAGAGTAATGAAGAGCTCATAAGGTATTTCCTCCTTGCTTTCTGCTAGCCATCGTGGGGTAACGGTAGCACACTCGGCTCGTATTAAAGAGGTCCAGGTTCGAGTCCCGGTGAGGGCATGGCTCATTTTACATGTCCCCTGCTTCAAAAAAGTCTAATAACTCTACAGTGGCCCTCAAATTAAAATATGGTAGAGGATGATTCTTCACTACAAGATTTGGCGATAGGGTTCCTTAATTCCCTATATAAGGTATTTTCTTCCTCCTTTTTACATGCCTTCTGTAGTACACTCGGCGATTATTCTAGATTCTCGAACCTGAGACTCAGCGAAGGCATTGCTCATTTTTCATATCTCCTGCTTCCGAAAAACGTAATGACTCTGTAAGCTTACCATGTAAAATGACACGCATGCCCTAGATATCATAGAATTTCTGAAAACAATCCGCATTAGAACTCTGTGTTTGAGTTCTTTGTTGAGCCAAATTTGCTGTCTTTGAAACTCTATAAGCCATGCGCATAATTAACTCGCTCTAGCACAGAGCGATGTATCGAAAGCAACTGTGTCTTTCTTTTCGTTTGGCGTTTTTTGTAACATCCATGAAACATAAACAACTGCGGCATCAAATACATTTTAAAGAAGAAAACATTTGTCATTTTACTCACTATTGGTTAGTGGCAAATTCCTTACTTTAACCCTTGTATATATCATAGAGTTAAATTTGACAGGAAAGCATAAACAGCCACCTTACAACAAACAACATTTACAAAAATGCAAAAAAATGCGTAAGCACAAAATATGCAAAACACATACATTTGCTATAGATATGAATTAAAGGCGGAAATGTTAAAAGAGAGAGAGGAAAGAAAAAAGGATTCGTTCTATAGACAAGGTGACCATTTTCATATTTAATGTATTAAATCCAGAATTAAACTTCATGTGTGTTGCATACTGTTACGAAATTCCCAGCTGCGGTGAGATAGCTTCCCCGCAAAGCGGGTTTAGGTTTGACAGAAAGTGGCAAAGAAAGGCAGGGTTGCCAAATTTGGCGTGAAATCGCCCATTTGGCAACAAAATCGGCGATGTGCCATAGACGAAGCGAGAACATTTTCTAGAATGAATTCTTACCGGTTTTCCCGAGAATGGTCTAGAAGGCAGGTTAAAAGCTATATATATCCTGCCGGTACGCGGAGAAGTATCTTGGGAGTATGTTGAGTTCTTAGATTAGCTCAAGAGCGATCGACCTAGTCGGAAGCTGTATTTTAGTACTTTGCCGTGAAGCTTTCTTCACCGTTATAGTCTGATGGCTGTGTTGCTGATTGTTTCAGCGTGTTTATCGTAGTTTTTTGACGGCTATAAACGTGCGTTTGGAACTGTTCAGTGTAATTCTGACGAATAAATTGTATTTTAGTTCTTCATCAAATGTTGCCATCAATCACTTCAAATAGTACTCCAAATATTAGTCCAAATTGTACTCCAAATATTCACTCCAAATATTTAGTGAAATGCCAACTGACTAGCTATTCAGAAAATATTTCGAAACCGTATACTGGTGTAAAGTTTCCCATTGCGACAGGCAGTTAGAGATATTCAGTTTTCTCCAGACGTAAATTTTTTACTTCTCTGACCTTTTTCTGGTCTTCTAACAACAGCTTTTCAAAATCTTTATGTTCAAAGGTTATAAGCTGTATATGTATTGAAATTTTAGCCAACTTGCTATATACTGTAGAGATTTTAGAATATTTTTGGAAGCAGAAGACGTGAAAAATGTACAATGTCTTTGCCGGGACTCGAACCAGGAACCTCTCGAATACACGCCAAGCATGCTGACCATTACACCACGAGGGCGTGCTAAGAAGGCGGGAGAATTTTTAAATAAGGGACAGCATTGTACTGTAAAGATTCTTCGAAGTGGTAATTCGGGGCTAAAAAAATCTGTTTCGACTGGATGAGCGGTTAAATCAAATCCCGAAATTTCATAAATTCAGGAGTGATATAGGCGGGGGAGAACACACTTTGGGCTAAGTGAGATAACATCAGGCCATTACTTGGACTTCTCGAACAGATTGAATAAATTATAGATAGGATAGTGCTAATTAAGCTTCTGTTTTATTATTTACATGAAAAAATACATCAGATTGATTAAATTGTTTCATGGATTTATACATGCTATATAAAGTACATTTATTTGTCTTTTAATATTTGAGAATGAGTTCTAGAAATAATTATGTTCTGTAAAATCTGTATTAAAACGCAATCAGTTATCTTATGACTAAAATAAATTCATAATAAATTTAGTAATGAGATACATTCCGCAAGAGAAGAAGAGGAAGAATGACCTTGTTGTTTACATTAGCTATACATAAGTCATGTGATCTCTGAGGTCATCTGCATTGTTTGTTTACATTAGCCATGCATAAGTCACGTGATCTCTGATGTCATCGGAATGTATCTCATTATAATTTGTTCCGGCAAAATGTGTTAAATACGTTCCTGAGTGCTATACCGCGTGAATTAAATATTCACTTTATAATATTTTTAATGATATATAGTAGTCGATCACTGATACAATTGAATTTCTAGGAAGTATGTAGTTTCTTACATCCACCAGAACATGTAACATCTTTGCATCCAGTTTTGCATATTCGTTCATTATGTGGGTACCAGTTGAAGAAATCCACGCAATTTCGTTGCTTTACAATGAGCTCCAACTTGCAAGTTTCAATGCACTCCTAGAAAGCAAATTAATTAAGATTCGAAAGAGAAATTTTCATAAGTACGAGTCAAAAGGCAAAGATGCTTTAGAACTAATAGCTCTGGAATAATTTAAATGAATGACTTATAGTAAAATATGTAAAGATTATCCTAAATAGCGAATATTTTCCTGTCTTATTTAAGGACAAACTACGAAAGCATTTATACTCTTGTTGTTATTCCATCATTAGTGGAAGTAAACAAAAAAATTATTCGCAAATAAAAAAACAGTGTTATTCACTAAGGGATTACAAGATTTTGTATAAGCTGTACATATGCTGCTGGCCATCTAAAGTGTATTTAAAGAAATATTCGAAATGGTATGACATTTGCACCTTGCGTGGACCTCGATAATAAATGCAAATGATTAGTATTGCAGCAGATATTCAAATTATATGCGCCAGTAAAACAACTTAGAAGTTCCACATAAAAAAAAGAACTGCTTTAAATACTGGAATTGTGTGTCTACTTGCTGCTCCTTTGTGTGGAAAGCTTCAAGCTGCGTTGTCGAAAAAAGTGACAGTCGTTGGAGCGTATCTGCATCTGATCCCCCCCCAAATGTGGTATATATAGATGCAGATTCTTCTTCCGAGAAATCGGTATTCGTATTGGACGAAATGAAGCCACACTGATACAAATATGAAATTGGTGAGTGCAGGAGGGATGAAACGATCAATGAGAATGTTTGCACAAGCCCTCGTCACATCACAGAACGCTAGGATAAGTTTATTCTGATCATGGCATGACGGCTTACACAGAAACATCAAGAATCTTAAAGCATGAATTATGATCTGTTACAAAACAACATTGTCAGCATGTTAGTATGTATAGAATGTTTGCAAGGTGCCCATTGCTGCCATAACTGTGCGCTGAAATTATACAGCGTGGATGAATGGCACAACATTGTCTTCTCAGGGAAATATTGATTCTTCTTACCACGCCCTCGAAGGTTATATCCGAGTCTGGAAACACCTCGGCGAAAGACACCATGCACAATGACACATTATGTACCGTCATACCGATCCATTACCTGGAGTTTTGAGTGCATTGGAGTTTGCTCCCGTATCTACCTAATATGCATTGAGAAAACACTCAACAGCCACCGTTACATCTCTGAAGTTTTGAAGCGCAGGTGTCGATGTGAGTCCCCTCCCCCGGAAGTGGTCGACGTAGAGAACTCTGCGAAGCTACTGGCTAGGATCTAGGCAGGAGGGTATAAAATTTATGAAGTTGGGGGTTCTGAAGGCCTGGTAAAGGTCATTTATTGGCCGGCCTCGGGGTCTGATATGTCCTAGCGCGGAGTGGTACTAGTAGCCCGGGCAGTGGAGTAGTGAGCATAACTGGCGCCGGGCGCAAAATACCTTTTTAGTGCCCCCATCCCCCGAAAAAAACACAGTGATATGATGAAAATCTTGTTTGGAGGCCATTTGGCACCCTTCTGCGAGCGGCGTCTTGGGCATCATACATCCCCTTGCCTACCCTCGCTACGCCACACCCCCCGGTTCGCTGGGTAATGTCTCGCTGCGACGGCCCAAGGCCCATTCCGGAGTACCTTTGCAACTTAATGCAATTACCTCCACAACTTCGATAAGGAAACTGAGTTGAATAAGAAAAAGCACTGGCTAAAGGAAAAATGAACAAACCGTTAAGGGTTTACTGTGAAAGAAATGGTAATCCGAGCAACTGGTAGTTAGATATTGACGACTAGTGCCGTCTGGGAGACTTCCTGGGCGGTGCGCCTCTCTCTCTGAGGGGCTAGAGCGGAGGTTGAACCTCCACGTCTGGTTCTAAGGAGTGGGGGGACTTGTAGTGTGATTAAGTTCACGGAGCAAGGGAAAACCAATATTGTTGATGTTGTTGTTGTCGATGTGAGTGATGAGACACTAAAGTTCCTGGTTTCCTTGAAATCTATTTTCGTAGAACAATTGTCTATTTGAAATATCCAACACGAATTTTGATCAAGATGAAACTCTAAAAAAGTCCTGAGAGTAATTTGTGAAAAGTGAGACAGTTGTCGATCGGAGTTGAAGCATTATGCGTTTCGAACGTTCGTCCTGCAGTGGTTTTGAAAATATCTAAAATAGAGAAATCTGAAAGAATGCTGCTAATTTCGTTATTAATCTTAAAGAAGTGAGCGAAGGCCCTTCTGCTATATTTCTCGGGTCCTTTTTCTACAATTTATCAGCTTCTCAGTTTCGTTTATCTGGAGCATTAGCATTTTTAGAATCCTAGACTCAGTTTCACAGGCTTTCGGAGGTCTTTCCAAATCTTCTGCTTTTGGTTATACAGCTGATATTACATCTTGCTTCTAATTTCCAAACTAGATGTAACTGATTGAACAGATCCCTTTCTTGATTTATCTCGGATTATAGCGTGATTGGTTTTTAATTTGTTTCCGAGTTCGCCGCCTGAGGCACTTTAAGTTTCTATGAAATTTTGCTCTTGAAATTTAGTGGGCTTTCAGGGGTCTAAATTGAAGATGGAGCACTTGAAGTTTTTAATCCATTTTTGACTCAAACTGAGCTTCAGCGACTATTTGCACACTTGATAGACTTCGAGCTGAGCTTACACGCATCCATCATGAGTGGTAGGAGTGTGGCAGTTATTTAATTGTTGACAGTTTTTAGTATTTACTTTTCAAGTTTATTACTTAATTTGTTGAAATATTTATACAAGGTATAATTAGGCACTGGTTGAAGAAAACACTTTTCTGAAGCCTTTGAGCAGAAAGATTTAGTAGCTGATAGAAAAATCTGAGAGACGGTTCTGTAATTTTTTGGTCAGATAAGATTAGTTATGGTTCATAAAAGATGACTAGAGGATTTTCAACACTGGCATATTTTCGAAGGCTTGAAATAGGTCAGTCTAAAAAAGACATGGATGTTTTCTGTGGTGTTGTCCATTCTGTAATTTCTCGGCCACAGAAACGATTTTAGATGAGTATGTCAGTTGACGGATCATTTACCGGTCATCCTAAAGGCTACCGCATCAATTGTTGATTAGAAATTGACTTTATTAGTTAAGTTCAATCTATAAGTGTTTGCATACTATAAAAGCCTTACAACAACTCTGGAAGGTCAATATCTGTGCCGCGAAGATTACGTTTGCGATGTTGGTGTGGGCTAGATTTTCTTTGACCTATCTATATTTATAACCTATGGAAATGCATGTCTTGAAAGTTTAAGGAGGCCGTTTTAGGCTCGTTTATAGCTCAAAGAGGCCTTTTTTAGGCTTTAGGTATCTATCGGAATGAAGCCTTTGACCCTTTATGAGAATATACGCTGAAGCATTTGACTTGGCATTTATTCTTATGAACTCGTATATCTAGACAGAAGGCATTTTCGTATGAAATGACCACCACACTGACCCGATTTTAACCTCGTTGAAAAATTTTGCAAAACGTTTGGAATTCTTTCTGTGCCCATGTACAATGTCTAACTATTCTGAAAGAGCTAGAAACTACCTATTTCACGAATGATTGCCGTCTGATATGCTGTAGAAAATCGCTGAAAAGATTATAATGGAAGTAAAAGGGCTACATTCTTTATTAAGATGGGACTAATTCATTTGCATAATTTGTAAAATATTTTTCTTTTTAATTGCGACATACCGCTATGGTGTAATTGGAAGCAATTGGAAGGCCAAAAAATTTCAAAACGTCTCTACAAACTTATAAATGCATATTTAATATGTTTTTAATATATATAATTACCTAATTAATAATCATGTGAAAATTTGAAACCAATCAAACCAAGCAGTTTATATTCCAAATAAGTTAAGTGGTGCTCTTGTATCGAATTACAAAAGTCATGCTCTACAGCAGGGTTTCTTAAACCTTTTTCAGTTGCGACCCCTTTTTATCACTGAGATTATTTCGTGACCCCTAGCACCGCATAATATTTACAAAAATTTTGTGGGACCCCATAAGTATTGCGCAAATCCGACACTCGCGTGAGTGAAACTGTCAATTTTTTCACTTATACTGCAATAAACTATTGCAGTTTTAGGTAATTAACATTCATTTCTATTTTTAAGACATAGAGCAATGTGAAAATTTTAAATGAGCAACAGACGAAATGACAGCGTAGCGTGCAAAGCAAGGAAAATGAACGTTTATGTTATAAAAAGAATGCGTCGAAGAGTTTTCGTTTTTCTTTGTCTGTATTGTATTATCTTTATCTATTTTCAGATACATTGTGTAAAAATATTTGGTAATTGTAAAATTATTATAATAAGTTAAAGAAATATCAAAGCTGCTAAAATTTTTGGCGACCCCCTGCAGCAGGTCCCGCGACCCCCCAAGGGGGTCGTGACCCACAGTTTAAGAAACTCTGCTCTACAGAAGTATCTGGTAAGTGATTGTTAAAAAACATTTAGCATTTTTGAATTTATGGTTTGGATAAAAATACAAAAGGTGACATACCGCTTGTGAAACTGGCCCTTTGTTTCCATTTATCTTCCACTGAGTTTCGTAGTCTGTACAATTTGTGGTATAAGGTGCAGGCAAGAGATTCATAATTCTCTATAGAAAACGTAAGTAAAATTACCTAATTAGAATAAAATTACTAATAGTACATGAAGTTTTAGAAAATAATTTAGAAGCGCCTATTAAAATTATTGAGGATATTACTTAATTTTATTTTATTAATAATAGAATTCAGGAATATTCTTACCTCTTTAATGAAGTACTTATATTTGATGCCGGGATACATAACGAAACCATTTAAAAATGGATTCGCTAAAGCTGTAGGAGCATGGAAATCGATGTACATCGCAGCATATTGATCAGGAATAAATGGAAGATAATCAGTCTGATTTGTCAGCAGCAATAAATTGATCGCTGAAAAAATATATATGTGTTACCGTGAAAGACCGAAATTGGAGAATGTCGACTTTCACCGGAGAATGTCAACATTCACCAAATACGTCGGTGAAAGACCGAATACTTCACTACATTCTTGTATATTCGGACCCTCACCGGTGTATGTCGACAATCACAGATATGCTCTGGTGAAAGTCGAAAAGAGAGGTCATAAAGTGCCATAATAGTTTAAGTTGTTGAAATAAATAAGATTTGAATCACATAATTTAGTAAGGTTTTTATTGCTGTTATTTTATTTTCTCATTTAGAACGTACTGTATAATTAAGTAAGTTTTTAACTTCTATTATTTTCCTTTCTCATTTTGAATGTATTGTGTGTTTTGGGTTCTCATGTTCCAAGTTCTTATTTCAAGTCTCAAGTGCGTTTATTCGCAACTGAATTACGGAGAAGAAAATGTAGTATTGTTATATGTTCAATGTCGACATTGACCGGTGTAAGTCAGAAATAAGAGTATTTGGAAAATATTTCGGGCATACACCAAGAGACTATGTGAATGTTGACATTCACCAGTGAAAGTCGACATTCTCCAGATTTCGGTGTTTCACCGTAACATATATACAATATAAAAACCTTGAAATTAAATAAAAAAATTCAGTGTTAATTAAATAATTTAGACTTCGAAGTTTTTGCTTAAAAAATAAGAATTTAATTATTAATGAAAAATCGTTTAGTGAGGCTGACGACAGCGCATTTTCCACAACAAGAGCAAATTCAGCCGGATTCTTCGTAGACAGCAAAATGCCCGATTTATTTAAAATGTTACATAACACTGTGCACTTTATGCGCGTAAAAATTTTTTTTATTGTGATCTATGTTATTTTCAGCCAATAATACCATATATATATATTGTAAACCGAAACTTTACAGAATTTCACATGACTTTCGTGAAATAGCCTTTTATATAAATTAACTCATAAAGTATAATTTTAAGTTTATAACCCGCTATTTTATGTTAATTTTTTTTTTTTTTTTTTTTTTGGTTAGCCTCGTTTCCATTTTCTTGCGGGAATGTAAATCTCCAGCTCGTGCGATATTCAGATTAGGTAGAAAGAAGAAAGTATTTAAAAGGTTCTGGAGCGTGAAATAAGAGCGTGTTCTGCCTGCTTGAAGGCCACGTTGCTAACTTTGATTTTCTAGAGATCAGTATTCTGCGACGTTAAGTCATTCTTGCCATTTAGGCTTGCTTACGCCGATATCGGTCAGAACTAGCTTGCGCGCTAGTTATACTCTGAAGTCTTTAGGCTATACTTAAATGTCATTAGTTTTAGCTCATCCATTATCTTCGATTTAAAGCCAAAGCTATTGGCTTTTGTAAGCACGAGTTCGTGCCGTGCGTAAAATTTTATTTAGATTAATAAACGGTCTAATACACCTTTTCCCTGTTTCTGTGGTGCTTGCAAGACATAGTAAGAATTCGCTACTTGTCTTTTACAGTTCTGGTCTAATTTTATGCTACATTAGAAAGCCAGACCCTGCACTGGCCTCCGAAAACGAACCATGGCACAGGAAACTTCAATATTTAGTTTGGCCCCCTAAACGTTGCAAGTTTCTCCGGTTGCAGCTAATCGCGTGGAGGGATTTGGATTTGTCATTCATATAAGAAGGAATTCTAAGAAGTTAGCAGTCATTTCTGGTGAGAAAACTCTGTAACGAGTTTTTTTTGAAAAACTGGGGGAATTCCCACTTTTTACTCTATCCAGTGCCAGAGACACAACAAATCACTATCATCACTGCTGCACTTAGAGGCCAAACCTTCACTTAGTACAGCTGCATTGAAAAAATTGTGTTAGGTGAGCCAGAAAGTGATACGTAGGCACATGGATTTAAAAATGCTCTTATTAAGGGGACTCATACATTTTAAAACCCATAAGATGTTCGAATAGGTGACTGTTGCAAAGAATCGGGATAACTTATTTATTTTAAAAGCAATTACTACCAACTTTTTACAGCTGACTACATAATATAGCTGCTTTCTGAAATAGTCATCAGAAAGTTTGTGTTGCCACAAATATTTTTATAATTTAATCCGCTTTGTGACAACATTTTTCGTCCTTTTTCCAACTTGCGCGCACAGTTTAAAACATTCTGTTTCATAATTTAATTCCATATTTAATACATAGCTTTTACAACATTTGGAAACTACTGTGAACCTAAAATTCTAAGAATTTCATGTTAAATTTTTATTTTATTTTGAATTGAGTTTATAGAATGTATTTATTAAAAAAATTTGTAATGTTTTCGTCCATAAAATTTTTCAGTATTAAAATATTCATCAAATTGTTGGTTCAGTTAGAGAATAGTGTCCATATAAAGAATTCCATCCAATTTCAAGAATGTACCATTAGACATTTTTAAAATATCATCCGCGCAAGGTGGAAAAATGGCGAAATATTTTCTCACAAAGAGGATTAAATTACAAAAATATTTGTGGCAACACAAACTTTCTGGTTACTAGTTTCCAAAGCAGCTATACTATGTAGTCAGCAGTAAAAAGTTGGAAGTAATTCCTTTTAAAATAAATAAAATATCCCAATTCTTGCAACAATCACATATTCGAAGATCATGAGGGGTTTAAGGTGTACGAGTCCCCTTAAAGCGTTGCCCAATGTAAAAGATAGGACCAAGCTCGAATCGGAACTATTTAGAAAATTCCAGATTAAAATTCGAGGACATAATGATTTCATTTAAAGAAAAGTACAAATTTTTAATTTGTTGTATGGTAAGAGGCCAAGTGAAGAAATTATTCAAATTTTGCCAAGGTTACTACCTCGAATCCAAGATTTCTTCGAGTTTCGCAACCCCACGACTTTAGAAAGTCTATTCGAATTAGCAAGTAAGTTTGAAAAATCGACGCGTGGCAGAAAAAAGAAATAGCAAAGTATAGACCAAATACTCCGAAGCAGTTAGGCTATACTTAAATTTCATTAGTTTTATTTCGTTCATTATTTCATTAGTTCATCCGTTTACCCAGTTTTTAGCCAACGCCTTAGTGAAGATTCCAGTTTGGCAAGAAGCGACAATTTGATAACAGAGGAAAAGATTCAATAGTGAGTAAAGGTCGCCAAAAAGAAGGGCAAAAGAAAAACAGAAGGATAATTTAATCTACGAAGGAGTTCTGAAGACAAGAAAGTGTAGTTAATCTCGGAATCTAGAAAATCCTTCAAAATTTCAATTAACCTTTTGAAGCCGGGGCTTTGGTAGCGGTAAAAGCTACCAAAGGACGGGGAATCTTGAACCGAATGCTTTCCTCCTTTAAGAAATCACCTCCTATTTTAAACAAAGATTCTTGTGTGTAATTTAATGGATTTTCATAGGGGTGCATTCATGTCGCAAAAGGATGACCTTTGAAAGAGATAAGTGGTTAAAACCCTAGGGACGTGAAATTTGACATTTCACCCCACTTTTCAGCCAGGAAAATGGGGGAAAAAGACATAGTGGACAACTCTGTCTTTTCAAACAGAGGACTCTATGGCCACTATAATGGCCATCTTGTCTTCAAAAGGTTAAAAACCGTAACAGGGAAATTTTGAAGTTGCCGATTGTGTAGGTTTTACGAAAATAATATCCATGCAGAAGTATTTATTGATACCGCAGAGTCACGCAGTTTAATTTGAGAAGCGTGTTTCCGAAAATATTATCGAAATTATAGACATTTTAACTTAGAAGGGGCAAAAGTTATTGCTGCACAAGCAATGTACATGCATAGGTAAGAGATTATTGCTTATACAAGCGAAGGATGAAGTCCTAAAAATCATTTTCTTTATTGTAAGAAATCTTCAAGCCGCCGTAATTTCAGAGGTAGATATTTTTGAAAGCGGTAGGGGCTCATCTTAACTTCCAAGATTTTGTTTTACAGCCACAGATGAATAAGCTGGAAGAAAGATGAACGCAGCCACCTGAAGTTGAACTACAGCATTTGGTACCGGAGGAAAGGTGAAAGTTAAAAGGACTGCTCATATTATCGTGAACCATATTATAAATGGCACTAATGCTGCCCTAAGGAGGCCCAAAATTTATAGTTATGATAAAATTAAGGAAAATAATTAAGGACCATATAGAAGAAACGTTCAAGAATAAAATTATAACTCCGTTATCGAGTTTTTATACTAGCCCGGTGGTGCTGCGTAGGAGAGATGGTTTTACCAACCACAAAGCGTGGCGATTCCTCTTTGACTATAGAAAACTTAAGAGCGTAACTAAGTATCCTGTATACCACTTCTCCATTATTGAGAAGATCATCCGAAAACGAATCTACAAAATCCATGAAAATGTTGGATCTAACATCCGCCTATTTTCAAATTGGTGTGAAGCCTGAAAATGTCCTTAAAATTGCGACCATTACCAAGTCCAACACGTATGCTTTTTGTGAATGCCGTTTGGCTTATGTGGAGCACTTGCCACTTTCCAATGGGTCATCGATACGATATTACGACCAGTCCTTGGCAAAAATACAGTTAGTCAATAAAGTCTGCGTACATCAAGAAAAATAATATCAAATCCAAATTTTAAAGTGCGAAAAGGGTAGTTTCTTAAAGTTTTATTTTTTAGATATTTAGTTTCAATAAGGGACTTTGAAATTATTTAACTGTAATATTTTCATATTTAATAATTTATGCGCACTAATTTTTAAAAGATAAGTGGCCAGAAATCAAAGCCGATAAAGTTTGCGTACAACGCGAAGGAGGCAGGGGATTTCTTATCTAACTTTTAAACTTCAAATTTGAGAATGCAAAGGAAGTTACACTTTCAAGGTCATTGACCTCCGAAGCAAATTTCACGTTGGTTGGAAGTTGCTATTTCTATTTTTCTTTGACGAAAATGACAACCAATAAAGAAATTCCTTTAGTTACGAGACAACTAATTATCAAATTGGGAGATGAAGGTAAAACTCTTCGTTATATTGGTAAAACCATTGGAAAACCATTTTCTAGTGTGCAAAGAGTTATTCAAAACTATCTTGACACTGGTGGTCTTGCTGTAAAACCAAGATGTGGGAAACCGAAGAAGCTAACGCAGAGAAAAGAAAGAAAAATTCTTTTACGAATTAAACAAAATCCTAAACTTTCTGCTGCAAGCATTGCAAAAGACATTTTTTTAACTAGCAACAAGGAAATTTCTCCTGAAACTGTACGAAAAGTGCTGCGAAAGTCCGATTATCATGGACGCAAACCTAGGTCTATGCCATATATTTCCTAGACAAATAGAAAGAAAAGAATTGCTTTTGCCAAAACATAGTTAAACTCTTCGCAGGACTTCTGGAACAATGTAATTTGGTCAGATGAAAGTAAATTTACAATATTTAAAGTTAATGGCCACCCTATTGTATGGAGAAAACCAGGAACCTAACTGAATCTGAGAAATTTAAATCCAACTGTCAAACATGGAGTTGGCGGTGTGATGGTATGGGGGTGTATGTCGTCAAAAGGAGTTGGAAATTTTCACATTATTGATAAAGTGATATATAAGTATGTTTATCTGGATATTCTGAAGAAAAATCTACGAGACAGTGCTCGAAATTTAAACCTTTCTAATACCTTTATTTTCCAACAAGACAACGACCCGAAACATACAGCTAAAATTGTGAAGGAATATCTTCTCTATCACACTCCAAGACAGTAGCGTACTCCTCCACAGTCACCAGACCTCAATCCAATCGAACATTTGTGGGCAAAATTGGAGAAACGAATTCGAAAACACAATATTACGTCGCGAAATAAGCTAATTAGTAAATTGCAGGAAGAATGGGCGAAATTTACGTCGGATGACACTGAAAAACTAGTTCAGTCAATGCCCAGACGTCTGCAGCTGTATTTGAAGAATAAAAGGATATCCTACAAAGTATTGAAGTAATGTAAAAAACTTATATTTTGCTTTTCTTTTTAAAGTGTACGCAGACTTATTGGGAGGGAATTTCTGAGTTTTTTTGACAAAATATATTTTTGAAAAAAATGTAAAAAGTATTACACTGATATTATTTACTTTTTATTTAAGCTTACAATTTTAGCTAATAGAAGAAAAAAAAATGCAATGATTAAAATACATTTTTCTATGCTTTAAGTGTTTTTTAATTTAAAATTTAGTCTGTACGCAGACTTTTGTGACTAACTGTATATTTATTTATTTAGACTATATTATAATCACGAGAAAAACAATCGATAATCATATTAAAGACCCATGTGAAGTATTTTCACTTCTAAATGAAGCTGGACTAAAAATAAATGCCGCCAAATGTAAGTTAGCTTCTTCAGAGCTTCGTTACTTAATTAGTTTAGAAAATATCTAGAGAACTATTTGCCTAACAGGATATGCCCGGGAAGAGTGTTTATAAGGGAAACCGCAAAAACATCCACGCAGCCAGTTCTTTCATTCGATTCGAACCAGGGTGGAACTATCAGTACTTACTAGTCACTGGTGGGCCAGATATATTTATAAGAAAATAAAATAATCAAATATAGGGAGGAAACATGTATAAAGTATAAAAATAATGAACTTAGGATATGTTGAAAAACTTCACATGTTTGCGCACAAGTCCTGGGATCTTCTCAGACCGAGGTAAACAGTATCTCCGGACCGATAGGCCGATATGCTAATTCCTGCAGCCTGAGTACGATATCTTACCCTTTTCTAGTACACTGTACAGCAAGATCTGACAGGAAATAGTAATTTTTTTTTTTTTTTTTTTTTAAATAAGACACATAGTAGGAGTACTGTTTGCGTGAGTGGAGAAATGCATTCATGGAGGACGTCCTACCACCTACGAGAAACCGGCTCCTATTTATGTCACACACGGAGAAAAACACCACAATATTCACACAGCTATCTCTTTGGCATTCATCCTTAAAACTGCTGATTTCAATCATTCGATTCAAACTACTATTCTTCGATAATGTTACCTACTCGGCTAGTGGAGGCTATACGGAAGAATGCCTTTAATTCTTTGAAACGATGGTACAGTTAAATCTCGGAAGTTTTTTCTTTCCTTTTTATATAAAATAAGCATACTTATGCTGGAAAATTATCTTTTATTATTAATAAAATATTTTTATGAAAAATATAAAGTAGAATAATTTTTATTGAAACTCATTTTGCTTTTATTATTACCAGTTGTTGAAGGAATGTTTTCGGATTGTGCATTTGGCATTGCCCATATTGAATTGAACATAAAGCAGTTTGTTCTGGTTAGGATTTCTCCTCTCGTGTGCAGAGCTCGTCTTGCTCTTCTGAAAAAAATAAAACAGTTTTAGCATGCAGTTTTGTTATTAGCAGTTCCATTAACTTTGAAAGAAATCTTACTTAGATAGAGAAAACTATTTATCTAATATAAGAAACTGAAACTGAAAATATTACATTCCTATTCTCCCCCTCCCTCTCTAAAAAGTGAAGACTTTTGTTTATTTTTAAATTTTCTTTGCTATCATAATTTACATTTTTTGGCATCACAGCTTATTTTGAAAATACAATTTTTATGCTGATGTAAAGGTATAGTTGCGGAATACTTAAATTTTTATATAATAAAAATGTGAGGAATCTGTAAAACAAAGACCGAAGCACATTTTTCGTTTAAGCAATTAATCATTCAGGATAAGTAAAATAAAAACGATAAAATGTTATTTGTTAACAAATTAGATATCATGCGAAATGTAACAAAAGTATTTTGTAGGTTTTTAAAGATGGGTTAAAATTATGAAAAGAAATATAAAAGTATTAATTCAGAAGTCAAACAACAAAAATCAGTGTTATATTTTCAAAATTTTCACAGAACTAGATTCGATGGTTTTACCGAACCACCATCCTCAGCTGCAAAACCGCAAATGAACCAGATAGGATATAATGATTAGATAAGATAAGAAAGCCTGGACAAAAATAAGCAAGTGGCGCCATCTATTGAGGAAACCAGACCAGAACGACCAGAACTAAAACATAATTTCTTTAAAAGACGAAGGCAAAGATGAATTGGAATTAGGATCGTTAACTAGAACAGAAAGATTTTTTTGAATGTGAAATGCCTCTAGAAAATCCAGTTCTCCAATGGAAGATGTTTTTTGAATAATTTTGGCAGCAGAAAAATTGAAAGTGTGATTTTTGGACCAACAACGTTGAGCAACAGAAGACTTCTGTTGCTCAACGTTTCCTTTTTTTCTAACATATGCCTCATGTTGCTTGACGCGAAATTTTAAGGCTCTCTTAGTTTGGCCAATGTAAATTAAACCACACTGGCAAGGAATCCTATAAATACCCCAGGAATTTATATCCGGAATGGGGTCCTTGAGTATGGAACTCGGAATTTTATTGATGGGAGACTAAACGACCTGAAAGTTAAATTTCTGCAAAATATGTGCAACTTTATAGCTAATTGATGGAAAGAAGGGAATGACAACAGAATTTTTATAATCTCTTAAAACAAGAGTGTGCCTTTTAGCGTGTTGAGATGAGAATTTTTTAACTGCTTGATTAATAATGTTGGGTGAAAATATAACACTGATTTTTGTTGTTTGACTTCTGAATTAATATTTGGTCTGCGTGTTATTGAGTCTTAAATATAAAAGTAGTTAAGTATCAAATTTTGAATCGGAAATTACGAGTATATTTAAATTTCAGAACGATATTTAGTGAGCTAAAATTCTACATTTTCTCTGTTAAATGTAATTTTTTAGATTTGAAAAAACTGGAATTATCGAAATGAATATGGAATAATGTATGACTTATTTCTTATTACTAAATGGTTACCATATTTTCTTGCGTATTCCCCCCTTTTAAACTAATTTAATCGAATCGTCCGAAAATCGAGAGGGTGATTTATAATTTCCGAACTCGATTATAATATGACCACAACAAATGAAAACTGGTCATGGATAAACTAGTTGCAACTATCATAAGCTTATTTCTTTAAAAAGCACTGTAGGATTTTATTTTATTTTCCTAATAGTTAATTTTTAATTTTCTTTCCTTCCCACCCTCATTTTTCTATCTACGCTTTCCTGCCAGAAAGAGTTTTCAGTTTCACTCTAGGGTTGTTATTAGTTAAAGATTACTAAAAGCTTATATTGCTATTAGTTAAAGCTTGCTGTTTTACGGCTGTGTATATTAATTGTCTACATTAGCTAAAGACCCAACTACTAGTTAAATATCTCTGTGGAGCTTCGGGTGATTATTTAACTTAGTTTAGTTTTATGTTTTGCACTTTTAAGTTACCGCCATAAGTGCTAGCTAAATGTACGCCCAAGAGGGGGCCTTCTGTAAGTAAATTTGAATTAAAACAAAAGGGTATTTTAAACCTTTTTCTGTTGTTGTTACTAACCCAGCAGAACTCAGCGAATAGTCGCTTTGCAGTTCTAGTAGGTTCTAGCAGCAGTCAAGTAACTTTAATTTAGTTAGAACACTATAAAACCTACGTTCCAATAAGAACACATCGGAATATTAACATTACGATCACTGACGGATAGTGAACCCGTATCTGATGGTAACTGAGTCGGATATGTCACGCTTTGGTATGGCTGAATTACCTTGTAAAACCTCTGCGACCCTCACATGAATGAGTCTTGATCGCAGTTTCCTAGAAAGGCAAATGTGGAAAGAAGAAGTAGAGGGCGAAAGAAAAAGGTCTGGATTTAGAAAGATCGGAACATATTGTTACGCTTTCTTTTTCTAACACCAGTTGTTACGTTATTTTCTTCCTTCACGTTCGTACGAGGTTCGTGGATTTGGAGTGAAAAACGACGACACTTGATGAAGTATCGAAACACACTTTATTTACCAATATCAACCAGTGTTAGCTCGAAAAACACGTTTACAGTCTTCGAAAGAGGCTACGTATAAACACGCTGGAACAATCAGCAACACAGCCTTAACACTGTCAGGCAATAACGGTGGAGGCAGCTTCATTGCAAAGCACCAGAGTACAGCTTCCGACTCTGCTTGGTCGTTCTCGGAACTCCACGTACTCTCGAGACTCTCCACGCTACAACTCTAGATACACAAGAGTATAGCTCTTGACTCAGCACAGTCTAAGGCGAAACTCGACGATGCACTAATTCGCGATACACTAAAAGACTCTGTCATGCACTCGACGACGAACTCGGCGCTACGACTTGGGGACACTCGCTCAATGACTATCAGCTCGTTAGACGAGGCACACACACTAACTGACTGCAGACCAGTAGGGTTTATATAGTTTTCGGCTTGTGTTCGAGAACATTCTGGGTTAAACCGGTAAGAATTCGTTCCAGAAGGTTCTCCATCCGTCCATGGTATATCGCCAATTTTGTCGCTAAAAGTCACCAAATGGGCGATTTCTTGCCAAATGTGGGCAACCCTTTTATGGCAACACTAAAACTGCTTTGCGGGAAGCCATCTTACCGCGCCTGTACATTTCGTAACAATATTAGTAGTAGATAAGCTACAATGTAAATAATAGAAAGAACATGAATAGTTATAGGAACGTAAATAATAGAAGTTTGAACACAAGCTCTGACATTTTCTCTTCGAGTTCCAGTTCAACTGTTTGGAACGGAAGCCAGCTGAAAGAGCTATAAATAATCCAGTTTTTGCAGTTGCACTCTCTTCTACTTGCTCTCTCCAAACCTAATCCCGTTGTATGAAGGTAAGCGAGAGAAGGGTGTCATTTACAGCAATTATTCCTTGTCCGTTTTGCTTTGCATTCCCGAAGTAAGTTTTTAGTGTCTCTACACAAACTGATTCGTTGTTTTAGCCTGTGGACATCTTTTACATTTGCCTGTGATGATGTCGAATGTGACTTTCGCCGAACGCCGTGCTGAGCTGAAGAATATCCAGTTCATTGAGGTAAGTTCTTTGCTCTATTTTTACTTCGAGACACGAGATCGACTAAGCCGTGCCTGTCTGCTAAAAATGGCTGGACATTTTTCACTCCTAAAAAGTTTTATAATATTCTGCAAGAATGACGTCGAAAAACAATTAATGACATTTGCGATGTTATTTTTTCACTTCCTGCGGCGTTCTGTTCTCGGATGAACTCGGGATGTCATCATGTTACTGGTTAACCTAGGTGACATCATGAACCTAGGTTTCTATGTGATTGAATATGCATCTAAATTTCTACTACGATATGAAAGTTCTGAACAAATGTAAATTTCACATGTGATGATGTTCCGTTTTTTGACATCGTTATATGAGCTAGTTAATCTTTTATCTAATTTAGGGTTATTAGGCGTACCTGGTAAAATCCTAAATATTCTACCCTTTTGGATAACGTAGTGTAATGTAATATACAAGTGTGCTGCAACCCTCCTGGCCGAAAATAATCGGCCCATGGTTAATGCAGCCCACCCAACACAGTACAACTTTAACAACAACTTAGTACAGTTTTAGTCAGCACACACAACTTTAACAAACAAAAATACAGTTAAAAGATTAAAACAAAAGATTGCAACACAGATTAAAACAGAAATGCAGTTAAAAACATCAAACCAAAATTCCGAGTATTATTCTATTGCCATTTATAAATTTCATTAAATCCTTTGCAAATCTAAACTCTTTACTGTGGCAGCAAAACTGTTTTTTAACTGTTTTTCCCAAACATGCCTCAATAATGTGCAGTTTTCGACGAAATGTCGTGCGTTCCATTTCGCTTTCCAGCAATCATGTAAGAAATCCTTACCAATAACAATTCTTTTCGATGTTTGGATATTGAACGCATCACCGGCATTATCCATAGCAACATCTTTGGCCAGCATGTCTGCCCTCTCATTACCTATAACAGCAATATAATAGGCTCTCACCCCAGTTCATTTTCACTTAATGCATTTTATCAACTTCTACAATGAGATCTTTTATATATAAGACCAAAAATAATAGTGTTATCAGTATCTGCTAGTGCTTCCAAACCAGGTAATGAGTCTGCATAGACATTAATATATGGTTTTACATACACTCAGGTTTTTATTAATTCATTTAAGAGCAAATATGATAGCAGCCAATTCGGCTCGAAAAATCGAATAGTATCTTCCTTTTGGGTATTGTTTCACAGCGTAATCCATGGCAATAAAAATAATTATCCCTCAATATAGATGATTAATCATTTCTTAATATTTAGATAACTGACGGCATTACGTATTTTTTACTTCATGAAGTAGGGTGAAATCACATGATCCACATCCGGGTAGCTGAATGATGAGTTTGAACAAAATTGATGGAAATATACACTGAATAAAAATAAAAATAATCAAGGGAGTACCATTTACCAACAAATTAGCCCTCAGAGAGGAAAACTACGTACAACAGAGGAAGGAGAAAATTACGCGAATGTTTAAAAAAAAAATTCAGAACCTAATACTGAAAAGGTAGGGAGAAAAATACGCTGGGAAATACTGTGTTACTGTTTTTTAATTCTGTTCTTTCCTTTGTTTTATAATGTTCCTAATCTAATTTGTCTATGCTGAACGTAGTGGAACTTGTTGAACTACGTAGCGACCTTTATTATCTCAAACTAAGGATTCAGTCGGTCCTTTTCTCGGGCTTACAGAAAAGCCTCCACTTGGGTTTTGAAATCTAAATAAGGAAATAAAAAACTAATCTAATGCTAAGCAAAACTGACTCAGTCGAAGCTATACACAATTATCTAACGTATTTGGCCCTTGATTAAATTAGCCAGCGAATATGAGCAGGCATGTACAATACCGCCAAGCTTAACAACGACGTAGCTTGAGGGCAAACACGTACCACTAAGGACACATAAGCTCTTCTCCTGGAAGTAAGCAAAACTTGAGCGGTAAAGTCATTGAACACTGGTAGTTCGGTCCGAGGTTCGACTCCCGCGAACGGACTGGCAGCATGGGTGTTTTCGTGGTTTTCCCCATGTGTAACGTGTATACGAGCCAGTTTCCCTTAGAAAGCCCTCCACTAAGGCATCCCTCCCCTTAGGCAGACAGCCTTAGTGTGCTTTGCCATAATTAAATACACACACACACACATACACACCTCTATATACTCTTTCTACCTCATTCACATGCAACGCGATTCTAAAACCTCATTCTGGTAGTGAGTTATAAAGAGGAAAGAGTTTCAAAATTAAAAATAGCTGTTAGAAAATTAAAATAAACCTTACATTTTGATACAAGACCGAATAGTTCAGATTTATTTCTAATTTTTCATGTTTCTTCTTGATGCAAGCATTTAAAAGAGTTTTAACATCCTGCAAAACAGCATTGAGGCTCAGATACCTTGCTTATAAAGCTTCAGTTTCACTTTTTGAACTCTCTTAGTTTATTCCACGAGGAAGAAAGATTAGTAACCTGATGGGTATTTAAAAATATAGCTAATGTCATTTAAAATGTCACAAAATTGCGCAGGGTTTTAAATAAGACAGAACAGTGCTTAAATTGCGCCGGAACCCAGCTCCGGTACTTCTCAAATTTTAAGATAAATTACAATTCTAGCCGGAACGCTCCGGAGCCTTGGATAAGATGAGCTTCGGTACTTCTTTTTATAAAACTGAACCACAATTTAAAGGGGGAAAAATGTAGAATTTCTAAAGTTTTAGTTTAACAAAAAGCAGACCTTGCAATACTGTATTTCCCTAGAAATACGAACTCATGAGAACATGAGACGTTCAAGTAAAGTCCCTTCACTCACATGCGAAAACCTTTCCCTTTAAGAAGGGCAATAAATTTTGGGGGAGTTTGTTTAGGAACGCGTAAATTTCCCTCCATGCCATCGTATCTAGTGTATTATTATCTATGCTTACAATTAGTTATCCTCGCAGGATGGAAAAATTGTGGTCTTAAATGTGCGTCAAGTGAGAACGAGTACAACAAGAGTGAAATACTGAGATGAAAACTGTTCAAGCACGTCCTATACATCGTCTTTCTACAGTATTCACTAATTGGGGGGGGGGGGTAAGCGCAACCAGGAACTTTACATTCATCATTAGGAGTCAGATTCAGGACTCATTTTACCCCTGACATACATCTGCTTGATGGCTATAATTATATCAGCAGAGAGCCGTGGCCAAAGAGAACGTTCTCTCTCACCAACATGCCCCTCATTTCTTGTTTCCACCCACTCATACCTTCATTCTGTTTCGCCCTGGAATTTTCATCAGCTATACTTTAAGTATATTTAATTTTTGTGATGATAAAAGAACTTCTCTCCCCCCTACGATCAGAGCTTAAATTGGGCCGGAGCCCACAGGATATCGGCTCCGGTGCTGCTCAGTTTTTGTAATAAATCATAATTCTAGCCGGAACGCATCGGACCCCTGAATAAGAAGCCTGTGGCACTTCTTTTACGCAATTGAATAACAATTTCAGTAGAAATTTTTAGCTCGAAAATTTTATTTTAACAATAAAATTATATTAAAAATCGCTTATTAAATTTCAATTTATCTCTTTACATTTTATTTAATTTTAATTTTTAATTACTTCAATCTTTAATTATTTCATAAATAATAATAATTATCTAATAATGACAATTAAATTATAATTAATGAATTATATATAATTATTGATTAAATAACAATTCATAGCATTAGTTAAATAGCTATTAATTAATTTGATGATAATATCTATTAATTTTTAAAATTATTAATGAGTTTATAGTCTTTTATTTATTTATTGACGCTAGTTCTCTTTGCTGACGGTCTTCCATAGGGCTCCGGCACTTCTAATCTTAGAAATTAAGCCCCGAGACAGAATTTAAGGCAACTTTTTCTTCGTAAACTCACCTACATGGTATAGAAGGAGAATTTCCTGCGGTTAGTATTTCACATTTCTTGACTACATTTTCTTCAAAATTATTTATTTCCGACTGAAATTCTAAGTCATTCATTATTTCTTGTATAACAGCTGTCTCATTGCGTGGTACCTAAAAAAGAATTTTCTGTTTAATACATCATTGAATCGGTTTCAAAACATAAAAGAAAATGTAATATCACTTTGTAACAGCTGCTATGGTTTCCATACACACTTATGTGCAATATTTAAGGGAATTTGCAAATGATTTATGTTATTACAAAAGGTAATAATTACGCCACCAAAGAATCATGTAAATATTTAGATTCAGATACGTTAGCTTACACTTGCGTGTCTGCGAAGCTGTATGGGATATAAGCGTACGAGGGGTTTTTGGTGGTTTGTGCACTCACACTCCTTCACGACATTCACCATGTTTCTCGCAAAAGTTGGGTAAATTTAATGGTGCTACTTTGGTAGACGGTTGCACGGATTTTGGCGAATTTTTGGCGATTTTCCTTTGGCGAGTAATACAACTTATGGTAAACCCATTGCTGGATAAGTTATTTATGGTAACCGATACTTTGTTGTCATTTTATTTAAAAAATAATATGCGTTTTATTGTGCATAAATTCCGTGTTTAAAAATTATATTATGGCTTTTAAATATTAAAAATCAATTTAATTTTGCATTTTTATTTGAAATAAAAATTTTATTGTTTATCATATTTTATGAAATTTTATGTTGTGGATGATGTAATCAATGACGTCACCTTACTTTAAAGTAATTCGTTTTAATATGTATAAATTTAATCTAATGTTTTAAACATTATTTATGGCTCTTAAATATTAAAATACAATTTAATTTTGCATTTCTTTAAAAAATGATTTTATTATGTATGAATTTTTAAATAATTTTAATTCTAGCCGTGATGTAATAAGCTCTCTGATTGGTTATAGAATATTTGTGCATTAACAAGCTGTAGTCAGCTCCCTGATTGGTTACTGACAAATTGTGCATTTCCGCGCCGTTTTAAAATTTAATTCGAATTCCTTCAAAGATGTCTTCAAAGATGTTATCTAAATTATGATTCTTATTTTTTTTTGTGGTACTTTTCAATAAACAACAGGATAAACACTCAAAAAAATGTAAGTACATATTTTTCTTTTATTTTATAATTGGTATACTTCAATTTTGTTAAAAAAATTAATACACTATTTTCAGAAATTGCTGAGATAATTATTGTCCATATGTTTAATGTTAATTATATTCTATATAACGTATTTTAAAGTATTTGAATTTAATAATATTCTAATTCTTTTAAATGTTGGTAGGATGGTTTTTAATTCGATATTCAATTTCAGTAATATTTTAATCTAATTAAACGTTGGTCCAATGTTTTTATAGCGGTGTTTTTGTTCTCTTCTTTGCTATATGAAAGTAATGATAACCTTACTTTAGTATTTTATACTCATAGTAAATGTATTTATTTACACTTGCCTGCCATCTTAAAAAACGACATTTTCAACAAAAAATTAGTCCATTACTTTTAACGATATTTATTTATTTATTTTTTAAGTTTCGAATACTTTACTATGCGTAAAAACAGCGTTTTTCAAGATGGCTGACGTTTGTAAAAATCGCGCCAACAATTGCGCCAACGTAAATCGCCAAAAATCCGTGCAACCGTCTACCAAAGTAGCACCAATTTAATAAGGTATCAGTTAAAATGAGGAGCCATGAACATATGGATGGCGGAATGAAATTAAGAATTTTCAGTAGATTGGAGGAATACCAATCACAAGCCTAAGTGGCTACAGAGCTCGGTGTAACTCCAAGTGTCATCTGAAATTTGTGGAAATAGTTTCAGCACATTGGATCCATATCGAGAATACCTGGACAAGATTGGCCAAACCCATACCGACGAATGAGGATCATTATTTGGCACTTTCAGTACGGCGACACAAGACTGCTACAGCGTTACAGCTCTTGCGTGAGCTGTATGCTGCTACTGCAGCACGAGGTTTACGTCTACAATTGCTCGAAGGCTTCTTGAGATAAGGCTGCATGCCAGAAGACCTGATGTTCGCGTTCCGCTTACTGCAGTACAGAAGACAGCATATTTAGCATGGTCCTAACAAGATGAGCCTTGGACTAGACCTCAGAGGAGCGCGCTGCGTTTTACAGATGAGTCGAGATTCAGCCTTTATACTTATTCTTGGTGTACCTGAATCTGGAGAGAGCCTGAAACATGATACCATCCCTCCCTCATCAAGGAAAAGGACCATTACGGTGGTGGAGGTGTAATGGTTTGTTCAAGTATGATTCTGAACGGCCGCACAGCCCTGCATGTGTGTGACAAAGGCTCCCTGACTGATCTGAAGTATAGAAAGGAGAGCATAGAGCCTTAGGTTCAACTTTCCAGGGGCGCAGATTGTCTTGAGTTCCTGTTGGTGCTACTTTGGTTGACGGTTGCACGGATTTTTGGCGATTTACGTTGGCGCAATTGTTAGCGCGATTTTTACAAACGTCAGCCATCTTGAAAAACGCTGTTTTTACGCATAGTAAAATATTCGAAACTTTAAAAAAAAAAAAAAAAATATATATATATATATATATATCGTTAAAAGTATTGGATTAATTTTTGTTGAAAATGTCGTTTTTAAGATGGCAGGCAAATGTAAATAAATACATTTACTATGAGTATAAAATACTAAAGTAAGGTTATTTTACTTTCATAAGCAAAGAAGAGAGATAAAAAAACCACCCGCTATAAAAACATTGGGCCAACCTTAATTTGATTAAAATATTACTGAAATTGAATATCGAATTAAAACCATCATACCAACTTTTAAAAGAATTAGAATATCATTAAATACAAATACTTTAAAGTCGTATATAGAATATAATTACATTAAAACATATGAACTAATTATCTCAGCAATTTCTGAAAATAGTGTATTATTTTTTAACAAAAATTGAAGTATACAATTATAAAATAAAAAAAATATGTACTTACACTTTTTTGAGTATTTAACCTGTTGTTTATTGATAAGTACTACAAAAAAAAAAAAAAAAAAAAAAAAAAAAAAAAATCAGAATCACAATTTAGATAACATCTTGAAGGAATTCGAAGATATGAATTAAATTTTAAAACGGCGCGGAATAGCACTAATTGTCAGTAACCAATCAGGGAGCTGACTACAGCTTGTTAATGCACAAATATTCTATAACCAATCAGAGAGCTTATTACATCACGGCTAGAATTAAAATTATTTAAAAATTCATACTATATAAAATCATTTTTTAAAGAAATGTAAAATTAAATTGTATTTTAATATTAAGAGCCATAAATAATGTTTAAAACATTAGATTAAATTTATACATATTAAAACGAATTACTTTTAAAGTAAGGTGACGTCATTGATTACATCATCCACAACATAAAATTTCATAAAATATGATAAACAATAAAATTTTTATTTCAAATAAAAATGCAAAATTAAATTGATTTTTAATATTTAAAAGCCATAAATAATATTTTAAACACGGATTTATGCACAATAAAACAAAATTTATGCACAATAAAACGCATTATTTTTTAAATAAAATGACAACAAAGTATCGGTTACCATAAATAACTTATCCAGCAATGGGTTTACCAAAGTTGTATTATTCGCCAAAGGAAAATCACCTAAAAAAACACCAAAATCCGTGCAACCGTCTACCAAAGTAGCACCTTCCTGTTAATGAACGACAACGCTCGTCTACATAGGGTTAAGTTAGTCGACAATTATCTCGAAAATGAAGATATTCGCCTTATGGATTGGTTAGCCAGATTTCTTGAACTTCACCCTATACAGCATGTCCGGAACGCTCTTTGGGGCAATTTCATCTCGTCATTCCCTCTGAGAACCATTTTGGAGCTGAAAACTGCCTTGCTGCAGGAGTGGGATAGACTGCCACACGGACTCGTCAATTGTCTCGTGTCCAGCATGCCGTAACTCTGCGCGATCTGTCTGGCTGTGAGAAGGGACCATACTCCATAAATGTATACTCATACTAAATTTTATCAAAATCTGTCCATTAGGTTTTCAGAAATTCTACATAATGGGAAAATTCTTTTAATTTTGCACATGAGTGTAATTTAGCTTCTCTCATTACCATAAAAACAAGAAGTTACATTTACTCTTGGCGGTGAATTATCTCCATCAAACAGAAAAAACAAAACAGAAACAGAATTAAAGCAGTTCAAATGTATCCTCTCTTACCACTCGTGAATGTTTAAATTGAAATAACAAACGCAAATTTACCAGCCAACATTGACGTGGTTTAAAACTGAAAACTTCTTTCCACAAAGGATGTAAATGCAACAAATTAAATCTAATTTGACTAGACACAAGATTGCCTAGACCGCGAAAGAATTTCAAACACACACTTAGCAAAACAGGATTTAACCTCAATCTAAAGTATTCACAGCTAGGCCAGCATTAGCACTGGCAACAGACTTTGTTAGAATCAGCAAGACATCGGATAGCATGATCGCTTTAAATTTACATATACCTTTGAAAAAAAGTGAATAAATAAATTATTTTATTCTAAATATTGTTTAGCTTTAATTTACAATATTTCTTATACGTATTTTATAAAGTAATAGCTTATAAAATAATAGTAATAGTTTATAAAATAATTACTTTATGTTTTATAAAGTAATCTCTACATATTGTTGCGTGCGTACGGGTTCGTTATGAAATGAATGCACAAGTCGGATGAAAAATGAAACAAAAATGTATTATTATCACAACAAAATGCTTAAATTTTCTCAATTATCATGCAGTATTACAATATCTCACAGTAGTTATCTTTTAACTACTCAAATATCCAATAGAACGTAATTCAAAACAGCTAAAGAACGCTAATCCGCGAATTCGCTACAATCAACAAGATCGTTTTCTAAACAACAACAAAACTAAGCAAGCAACTACTACAAACTGAGATGTTTTCCTCCTTTTAAAGATTTTAAAATCACGCGCTAGAATTTTCCAGTACTTTCTCGAAATCAAAAAGAGATATTTATTTATTTAATGCACGCGCTCTTGTATTTTCAATTTTCCGGCTTAGCTTTCTTTTAATATTCGTCACGCGCTGCACTGCGCGAGAAATAAAACCATTTAATTTGTAATTGAACTAACATTAGCTTTTTAAATACCAAATTCGTAACAATATAATAAAATAAAGAGTCTGTGTGTCTGCGCGTAAACTAATAGACCCAGGCTACGAAATTTGGTATATAGGTGCATCTAGACAAGAGCCAGTGCACCTCGAAGAGATTTTTTTTCAAAATTCGAATCATATTTTTTCTTATTTTATATTTTCGATTTTATCGCATCATTTTGAATAGTTTCATTCTTTTAGAAATGTGGTTTTGGCAACAGTTTTTCATTCAATTGTATACTGGATTGATGACTGTTGAAAATGAGCACTGTTGCCACTTGGAAAAATGAGGGCGATCATTCTGTGCAGTTTTTAATTTTAGCGTTTTTCTTGAATACTGGACGTTTGATGAGAGAATGCAACGGGAAGTTGGTTAATTTATTTATTAAGATAATTAATATTTGTATAAAGGGATATTGCTTATTTCATTGTAATTTTGTTATATGTAATACATTTTTTTTTGAAATTTGGGGTTTCTATTTTTACTTCCTTGTACGAAATAAAAAAGAAGTATTGTAATCGCGAAAAGTTTCAGGCAGCATATTTCAACGAAAATATCCATTCTGACCGCTATCGAATGCAATTTAACGATGTTTTTGCGTGATATCTGTACGTAAGGACAGAATAAAAGACTCTTTTCCTTCAAAAAAAATTATAAACTGCTTTTAAAATTAATTCTGAAGAGAATTTTTCGTGGCGTCTGTACGAACGTACGTATCTCGCATAACTCAAAAACGAGTAGCCTCAGAACGTTGAAATTTTGTATGTAGGACTGCTATAACTGCTATAACATGTAGATGTGCACCTCGTATTTTGGTTGCAATCGGCCGCACCAAACGTATATAAATATTTTATATATATCCACTCTGTACCCGGCTCATTGATCTCAGTTTCTTTACTCTTATATGTAGGTAAATTGTACATTTTTTGCTTTAAAAATGATTGAATTATGTAGTTTTTATCTTCCGGTTAAGGATTTTATGTCTTTAGTAAATCTGTGTGCAATATTTTTAGAATTATCAGCAATTCTGTTTAATTGCCGCTAAGCCTGTTTTTAATGGCGGCCATTGCTTATTTACATTTGAAACAGCTGAGTAGTGAATTTGTTGCCAATCTAGAGAAACGTAGCTTCGCAACAAAAAAGATAAACGTCTTCATTTATTATTGCTATTTAAATCATGCTTAAACCTTTCTGGAATTTTTTCGAGGAAATAAGTGCTTAAGATTTACTTAATTTTTAATTATGTTGTTAAGGTTTTTATGCCTTTAGTAAATCTGTATGCGATATTTTTAGAATTATCAACAATTTTAAAGTTGTTTAAGTGTTGCTAAGCCTTTTTGTTATGGCGGCCATTGATTGTTTACATTTGAAACAGGAGACTAGTGGATTTGTTGCCAATCTAGAGAAACTTAGCTTCGCAACAACAAAGATAACGCATTCATTTATTATTGCCAATTAAATCATGCTTAATTCTTTCTGGAATTTTTTCGAGGGAAATAAGTGTTTGAGATTTACTTCGTAATTTTTAATATAGATATTTTGAGTTTTTATGTATTTTTGCCTTCTCGCGAAGTGAGAACTGAATTAATTGAATGAGAAATACTCAATCGTCTGTGAAAAACTGTTTCTTTTTTGTTTTGTTTGCTTAATTTCTTTTATACATCGTTCTAGCTTTATTATAGTATTTGAATAGAACATGTGGCAACGATTAGATAATTCTATTCTTTAAATGATATAAATTTTGTGCATTATGAGTTATAATATGAAAGAAATATACAAGTTAACTGTTATATAATTATTGGATTATATAACAGTTAACTTAGTTTCCGTTATAATAATTATTATATAATTTAACTGTTATATATAATTATTAATACTGTTAAGTGAATCTAGCGCCAGAGTGTCGCTATGGTAAACAAATACTAGAGTGAATTTTAAAGAATGCATTTATTCTATTGTGGTGTATGCGCTGTCGGCGAAGTAGATTTAATTCAACCCAATAAGTTTAAATGAAATGCAAGAAAAAATGCGTATAATTTAATATTCCAATACAAGAAAGTCATGTGGTGTACACATCAAATTTTTTTTTTTTTTTTTTTGAATGAAGTTGTTCTGCAGAGTAAAATTCTGCGGAGTTTTTAAATTTAACGTTTGGTAACACCTTCAGGCAGTTTTTCGGGACATTTAAAATCCAGACGAAGGCTGGCAGCGTAGCTGCTAGTAGCTTTATAAAGTAATAAAATTTATAAGCAAGTAAGAGCTACACCACTCGTCTGGTAGCGTCAGCACGTAACTCTAGCTGAGCTGCAGCGTGGCCAATTACAGGGAACTACAACTTCCTGTAGATGGTCATGGTTATTGCCACCTCTGTAATATAGACGTGTAAGAAAGTGAGCATGCGCAAACTTACAATCATTCTAGCGTTAGAATTCATAACTTCGATAATTTAATTCATAACATCAATAAATGCAGGAAAGAATTTCACTTACAAAATGAAAGACTAATGTGTAATTAGTACAAATGAAACCTTTCTGTATTTTTTAAATGAAAATAAATTTAAATTCTTGGTAATATTTTGAAAGGAGAAAAAAACCATTGAAGATCTTTACTCACTCGGAAGTTTTCAGGTACTTTCATATATCTGCAGTACCTCTCATGCAGTTCGCAGAATTTAGTTTCATTATCGACGGGTTCACAAGGATATCGGGTCATCGAGCAATAATGCTCTAAAGTATATCTGAAAAGAATTATATAACAGAAAGTATACAGTCTAAATAATGTAGTGGGAAAATTTACCGCAGCATTTTCACTTAAGTAGCATATTCAAATATATCCAGAAGTACTGTAATGTTGATAAAATCGTACTGTAATGTTGATAATGATCCAGAAGAAGTACTGTAATGTTGATGACGAGCAATGCTGATGACCATTTTAAATAATATTCACGAAATGATACGCGAAATAGAAAATGGCATACAAATATTTAATATATTCCTTAACCCTCAAACTCAGGTTGTCCTCGGGACGCATCATCATGCACAACAACTGAAAACAATTAAAGAGTCATAGCGTTTTTTAACATTTTGTGTGTTACCTTTCTTTATTAAATATCATGTTCCTCGCACTTAAACCATACGATCCAGTGCAACAGCAATATCGCAAAATAGTTTTAAAACGAGCATATCTTTAGAATTTCCGATACAGAAACTCACGCGCTGGAGATAAAAATGTTTTTTCTGCACAACGTTGCCATTGCTCGCTTTGAAATCCTTGAGTTTGTTAATCAAAAATTCGTCAAAGTTTTAAAAAATAGGAAATCGATCATAAAACAAATTTCAAATTTCAAATTTGGTCTTCCACATGCTCATATTCGTTGGCGGATTACGTTATTCAAAATTCGATGACTCTATGTACCGTTGTTTTATGACAATACGAGAAATATACATACATTTACGCAGATTTTTCATTATTTAATTTCTTCAAATATAATGCAGGACTCTAACATTTTGTGGCAACAGTTTGAAAAGTGAACCGACATTTATGAGTCCGACGCAAAATGCCAAAACGAAACTAATAGTCCTTCGGGATTCAAATCCCTTTGGACTAAAAAAAAAATTAAATTTCGCTTACTAAGTATTTTTCAAAATATACATATAAACAATAATAATAATATAGCAAAGGGAAAACCGCAAACTCATATTTATTTTCTATCTGAAATCTAAAGTTTAATGCCTGTAAGACATTTTTGTTTACATTTTGTAACGCGCCTACCCCGGCACGCCGCACTCGCGAGTACACCAGATGAACTATGTTTTGTAAAATTTTATCCTGCTAATCTTTTCTACATATAATTAAAGACAGAATCTGTCTGCGTGTGTGTCTTTCGTTCGCGCTGCGCGTGTTAATATACCCACGGCTACGAAATTTAACACATAGGTGCATCTAGACAAGAGCCAGTGCACCTCGAAGCGATTTTTTCGAATTTCGAATTAGAATCTTTTTAATTTTTATGTTTTGTGACGAAATCGCGTTATTTTGAGACATAATGGGCTATAGGAAAACGAGATTTTACTCTACACACTCCATTTTCACATCGTCATGAAACGTAGGCACTTAGCTATTTTACGAACTTAAAATAAATTTCGTGTTTCAATAAATCGATTAAATACGAATTTATTTAAAAAAGTGAGCTTAACACCTTTTCAACGGGATTTTTTCTAAAAAAGTTTATTTTTCTTCGATTTTTGGACACTTTAAACTTTCATCCTTGCGACTGCTTTTACAAAAATAATTTTGGAAAAAGGATAGTATGTTGTATTTAAAAAAAATTTTTTTTTTAAATGAAGCTTCCGAGTACACTTTTCACATCTCACATCTTTAAAAATGTGATTTTGGCAACAATTTTCCTTTCTTATTGTTGTTGATAGATTTTTGATGAAATCGCATCATTTTGAATAGTTTCATTCTTTTAGAAATATGAGTTTGGCAACAATTTTTCAGCGTATTTCTTATGTCACTGTTTTTAAGAGATTGGCATATTTCATTGTCATTTTTTTATATATATAATACATTTTTATTGATTTTTTTTTGATAAAGTTGTTCTGCAGAGTAAAATTCTGCGCGGAATTTTTTGTTTTTTGAGTTTCTTTCATGTTATATTTAATAAATAAAGGTAACACACAAAACGTTAAAAACCGCCTCTTTGGACGTAATTTAAAATTTGAAAACTTTCAGATTTTTTTTAGTCCAAAGGAAAGGGGCTTTGTCTCTAGAAGACTAAAGGACTTTTTTTTTTAAATAAAATTGTTCTGCAGAGTAAAATTCTGCGCAGTTTTTAAATTTAACGTTTGTGGTACCCTTCAGGTATTTTCCGGTACTTTAAAAGCCAGGCAAAGGCTGGCAGCGTAGCTTCTAGTAAGCCATAAAGAAGAGCTTATTAAAAATGAAAAAAATTAGTCATGGTAGCAAAACTGTTAGCGAATTATTTAGCGATGCATATTTTAATTGTTTTCTACTCTGGTGCCGCAGTAACCCGCATAAAAGAGAATATTAAGATTTGATTCCGGTGTGCCTCAATAGCCTAAAATTAGATGAAATATAAATGTTAACTTACGCATGTATAGCACCAAGAAAGAACGCATAATATCTCCAGCTGTGAAACACGTATTTATTTATAAATGTGGTAATGTAAATTTAGGTACGTATTTGGTCACAAGAAATCTAAATACACCGAGATATCATTCGCGAGTGTCTCGTAGAAAAACAAGGCAAATCCGAAGAAGTGAAAGCTTAAAACATCGCCAAAAATCACTAATGAAATTTCGACGTCATGCTTGCAGGAAACTATAGAACTTAGTAGAAATAAAAAAATGTTTAGCTATTTTTTAGCAAAATGCGCTTCTTGGTCCATCTCGTTCACAGGTATGAAAATAAGAAATTATATAAAGAAACATAAGGGCTTGCTAAAGAAAACTATATCACCGAATCGGAGTGAGAACGAAAAATTACCAGACGTGTCTTACAACTTTCATTCACGCGCGCAAGCGTCGCGCTGAAGAGGGAAGAGAAGAATAGGAACTTGATGCGTATTATGACAACGCTATCGCTTCTAGGAGCAAGGGGTTATCACTTCTATCGACAGCCCTTGCTAAACAGGACTTTTTTACGAACGAGATTCTGGTAGCACTGGTTTAAACGGGGAGATTCTTATAAAAAAAATCCCCGCTGGAAGCGAAGTCCCACCTAGCTACAGAAACGATGTAGCGGCTATGCGGGAGTTTTTCAAAACTCACCGAAAATGTCTCGGATGGAGCCCTGTCCTGATTAGAGATCTACCAATCAGACGAAAGTTCTGCTTCTGAAGGATCACGTGATCACAACCTGAGCGATAACCGATTACTGTTTGGCATTCAAGTCTTTGTAGTAAGTGAAAATGGTGACCTAGCTACGTGGGTTTCCTGGAAGTGTGCGGGTTCTTTGAATTGCCCCTTTCGACGTCCAGTCCCGCGTAGCCGAAACATAATGTGATTGGGACATTAGCCACGACAGTGAAGAGTTCTAGACCGTGCAGATCTCACTAAAGGAGAAATCGGAGGAAGGTAAGCAGGGAACGGTCCGATGGCCGCAGAAAAGAGAGGAGCAAGCAGCTGAGGAAAGAGAATGTGGAAGTCATATGCAACGTTGTACGGAATTTGACTGGACTAGCGAGATAACTAGGTATTGAGAAAGAAGAAAGGGAATTTCAAAGCTGGTCTATTTATAGCCTTTTTAGCCAATGCTCGTTGCCACAGTCGAAGTGGAATTCAGAATGAAAATGTGAGGGCTTCCCTTCACACTTTAGCTACCCGTCTAGGCAGCGTAGGTTTCCATTCCGCAAGAACACATCGAAAGCCTTTCTCAGTGCCGCGGCGTGTAGCAGCGGTTACTAACAAACATGGAGGCAACACTTAAAACAGATTTTCTCGTCTTTCTCACCTCAAAGAAGCCTGTGTTTCATATGAATTAACATTAATACTCTATGTAATCTCTCATATAACTTTGGCTTCGATATCTCTTGTCCTTGTTTGTGTTGTATTTTGGATTATTGGATGTGCAATTCCATCGTTTCCACTAGTGGTGGTTTTGAAATTATGCAATCAAATATGAACATTGTTGCGAAAAACAACTGAATTTCAAAGAAAATATGCGTAGTGTGTACGTGTGGTCTCAGAACTTGCTTTGTCTTAAAATCCAAAAGCCTCAGTAGAAATGTTATCCAAGTCATTTACATTATTGTTAGAAAAATAGAAAGGAGAAGTTGTAGTAGAGATCCAAATCATAATAACTTGTTAATTTATATAATAACCACAGAGTTACATTCGGAGGTTCGTTTTAAACCAACATCGGAATTCGTAATCTATGGGAAAGGCGCCTCTTTGAACGTTAAATGTAGCAGCAAAATTCAGTATTTTTAAATGGTGTTCGGTTTATAAAATAGATCTACATACGAATTTTTTTATTGAATTATATATTTTTATTGTGTTTAGTTAAGCAATTTACACACTGAAGGAGAAGGAAGTCCTAGAAAGCTTTTCCGAAAGTTGGTTTGTAAAACCAATAGGAAATTAAATTAAATTTTGCTTAATTCTGTAATTTAACGTTTCCAAAATTGAGAAATATATTTATTTTTATTTCAACTCGAAGCAAAATATGCTTACCCATTATAATCGCAGATGGTAAAAGCAGGCAACGCGATTTCGGATGGTGAGTCAACTTCGACGTTTATTACCACAGGATAAGCCCAGTATAAGTCTAAGAAAGCCCAAAACTGGTAGCCGAGTCCAAATGCACAAAATACGAACACTAAAGTTCGAAGTAATCTTTGCATTGCATTTTGAGCTCTGACGATCTGCAAAATCCCAGCTATAGCAGTATTTTCACATGTCCTTTTCATATGCCTCAGAAATTGGGCGCAGTACTTTCGATGCCTCAATCGCTTTTGCTGCATAATATAAACGATAATCTAAGAAAATGAAAAATGTTTAATAAGAAAACTAAAGCAGATTTATGAATAATATTGTTTTACATGAGACATTATTAATATTTATTAATTACACTAGTTTTCATAAAAATTGTCAACGACTCTGCTTTCGACGTGGTACTTTCACGATGCGGTAAAAATACAGACAGAAACAAGTATTGTTAGGAATTTCGTGCATAGTGTGAGAACACAGAATTCTCACAGTGAACACTGTGGCTTTATCGATTCTTAAATCGTTATCGCGCTCTACCACGTGCGTCGATCGGAGATCGGAGATCATCATTCGTTAAGTGGTGTTCGACCCGAGGGCCTTTACCACTACATGTTTATCAATCCCCTAAGGACCTGTAAAAGTTCGTTAAATTCCATAAACTGGAAAAGTCCTGTGCACTTGTAATAAAAGTGCAAAGTCTTCAATAGTGAAGAAGT